ATTTCAATAAATATCAATTAAATTATTAATTTTAACTAATTTTACTTATATTTCAATCTATAAGCATTTAACAAGCATACAAAATTTGAAGAGAATTGAACTCACCAATTGAAAGAAAAGCTCCCAAAACCTCTCAGTTGTTAGCTGCCCTCTTTTTTCAATTTAAATGTTGATCTTCCAACATTATTTTCTGTTTGCTACATTGTTAAATTATTTCAAAAATTGGCTTATATGTAGATTTATAAGTCTAAATTGCTCTCACCTATTTGTGCTTCAATTAAATTGGTGGATGTTGCAAGATCACAAAAACCTTCACTGATCCTAAATTTCAATTATGTGAGACCATAATCCACAAAAACTCTCATAACCATCAATCTAATCATTTGAATAATATCAAATTTTTCAAACACATTCAAGTCAAATACAATTATAAGAAAGTAATATTAATATTTATTAGTTTTTAGTACCTCCTTATCTATTATCTATATTTCTAAGATAATTTGTTTAAGTATTTTCATTTAGGCTCTTCTATAATATAATCTTTTCTTTCCTCTTTCACCATGTAATTATATTATCATATGACAACGCTTTTTAGAAGCTTCGTAGATATGGCTTTGCCATTATACATGTTTATATATATTTCTTAAGTTGAAAACATGGTCAATAAGTTGGCTATGTATAACACTTGTTGGCCACTTATGGTACAAATTGAATATGGCCCATACATGTAAGAAGATTGCTTTGCAAATTAAATACTTATCTTATTAGTTGGATACAAGTTGGAGGTTTTATAAGACATTATATAGCTTTAGGTTAGATAAAATATATGGAGGCAAGAATGAGACTTTTTTCATTCTTATTAAGTCATTTTATGTTTCTAGTTTAGTTTTAAGACTGTTTAGTTTTGCTTCTTAAACACATTTTTTTTTTTTTTTTTTTTTTTTTTTTTTTACCACCTTTTTTTGAGAAATATCTTACTTATTTATTTAAATTCTTCAAGTTCTTGTTCATAATAATATATGTACAAAAAATTCTTAACATCTATTAGAACTTTTGTACATTTAAATTATTCAAATATAAGATTCAAAGCATACATGGACACATAATTTACAACATATGTGAAAAAACCAATGTTATGTTGATGACATATATATGTTTGTTCAAACTCTCATATGCTTTGATTTCTCTTATCTTATTTTCAAAAAAATGAGAAACAAATTTATATCTTTCAAAGATCTTTCTTAGACACTTTTAAATAAAACTTCAACACCAAATTTTGAACTTCAACTTGGAATGTAGCTACACTTCCAAGGTGAAAATATGTGTTTGACTAAGCTTTAACAAAATGTTTCTTGTATGGTATCTATGTATTTTGTAAGTATTTAATTATATATATGCAATTGTGGATATATACTTGGTAGAGAGAGTGGACTATTCTATATCATAAAGCTCCTTAAAAGTAGAATTCATCACACTGGTCAAATCTCCAAGAAATAACAACCAACTTGCTTCCAACTTGATTATAAAATATTTCTTGCAATTGATTAAGACATTCTTCAAGATGTATGTGATATAGAATAAGATAACTAAATTTAAAAAGATAATATTAATGACATTTATTAATGCCAAATCTTGATTAGCACCAATGCACGTGGATCAATATTTCTATACAATTGACTTAGTTGGATTAATACCAAACAAAAAAAAATTATGTTTCTTCTTAGAGAAAATATAATTTTAATAATAAAAGACATATTAAAATTGGTAAGTTTTACAATACATAATATATTATTCTAAACCAATTTTTTTTATATGTACAATCCATAACAATGAAGGATGAATACTTCTTTGTAAGTTCAATACATTTGAATTATACAAAAAAGAAAACAATTACCTTGTTATTTTTATTGCTTTAATAAGTAAATTAATAATCTATGGCACACAATAGATAAACAACCATCAAACATAATAAGATGCAATTATTGGCTCTTATAATAAATAGTACATGTGATTAGATGACTTTTCAGAATCTCTTTTGTGAAGTGCAATTACTACATTTTTTGGTACCATCTTTGCAACAAGCATCTAAACTTTCATTTCTTTTTCTGCTAATTGAAAATGCTAAGCAATAGAATAACTTATAAGTGATGTTGAAGACTCGTAATTATGGCCACTATTTTGTATTAGGAGGTGTCAATGTATATTATCTTGCAAACAACATACATGCAACTCAATTAGACATCCAATCAATTAATTTGAAACATTTTTTTGATAGATGGAGTTGTTTTGGTGACTATAAATTTGTCTCTTGTTTCATTTGAAATCTGTGCAATGCTTTTTAGAGCATTGTTTGTAAAGTACATATCATTGAGTATACGCAAATCTATCTATCTATCTATCTATCTATCTATCTATCTATCTATCTATCTATCTATCTATCTATATGTCTTCTAAATATTCAAAAGATCCCTTTGATAGAGGAGAAATGTGTAGTACATTTTTCATATCAAAATGCAAATAATCTTAGAGTAGACAATTTCTTCTCTCTCTCTTTAAAGACTAGGCACAATGTAAAAAAATTGCAAGACTATATTACAAGGTGAGAAAGAAGATGGTTGAATATATAAGAATTTATAGTCTTGACAAGGCACAACAAAATGAAGGGATTAATTCATGTACATGTTGATTGTTAATTGTTATTGCGACTAATATATCTATAATTATATCAATTCTATTTTTTAAAAAACCATGTTTTTATCAATTCAAATGTAGATGATGGTTATGATGATGAAAATGAACTCAACAATCTATGTGCCAATTTTTAATAATAGGTAGGTTGATTTAATATTTCTCTATTTTATACATATATGATTTTAGCTAACATTAGCTATAGATTTTAGTTATTATCATTTTTAATATTTTATATATGATATTTTTAGAATGTTACAAATACTTCCGTAGTTTTTGTTGTCTCCACCATAATTTGCCATCTATCACATTTTATCACAATGTTTGCTATTGCTTACACCTGTGTGTCAGTTTTCAGAAGTGCACATTTTGTGTAGATCAGGGAATGTCGGAAGGATTGTGAAGAACGAACTTACCTGGCAAAGGAGGAACAGTTAAGGAGGCTGTGTAGGGCAGTGTGCGTAACTCTTCATACAAGGCCTGCGATGAGCGTCGACTGCGTGCTTCATGCTGTGGTCGGATATATAAACAACGAAGCGGCCAGCAGACAAGCATGCCTGTCCACAGCAGCTTCGCTGCCACCTTCGCACTGCATGGCATTCCAGGTAGTGAATGTCTTGCAGCGAGGTGGACCCGACTCAGAATAGCTACTCCACAACGGATAGGAATGTGGAGTTTCTTCCAAGGGAAAACACAAATGAAACACACGTGTTGGTCTTTGGAGAAAGCGTGAACAAAACTGAGGTCTTTTCGAGAAAAAAAACAGACAAGAAAAGGAAGAGTGAACCATCAAGAATTTGCCCTCAAACTACCACGATTACCACAGATCAAATGTGTCACAGTTACTGCCCGCATAGTTTGATAAAAACCTCGCACAGATGTATGTTCGTCGAAGTGATTTGCAGATTCTGGTCATTAACCCACACTATCACTTTCTAATGCAGTTAAATATTTGGACTCTAGGTGTAATTTGCTGGCTCCTGAAAATGTTCCATTGAGATTGGTTCATTCGTGTCCATGGCCGAGGATAATTTGTATGGCGCTCATACCCTTACCCAGCTCAGCGAGGCAAATCGGAAAAGCGGGTAAGAGTTGGTAGGGAATCCTCTCTAAATCGCAGGAGGAGTCGCAGGCAATGGGCGCAGAGTAATCCAATCAAGACTCCAGTGCCACTGGTGATTGGCGGCGCCTGGAGAATGTATTGAGGCGATTCTTCTGTGCGACGTTCGTGCATTGCTGTAAATAGTTCCACTGCTGCTTCCGCAGATTCCCCTTTCTGCGACTCCACAACTGTAGCCGACCTTGTCCTTCTCGACACTTCGAATACAACCCTTAGTTTTCCCTGTTCAAGGGGTGAGGGGGCGGGGGCTGAGGCGAGAGCGAATATTATTTATTCTGCTGAGTTGGCTTTTTCTACACAATCTGCCGGATCGCGAGTCCCGAACAAGCGACACCATTCTTCTTCTCATAGTCCATCCGACGCACCGCACCCAGTTTCTAGATTTTTGGGATCGATCTTCTTGTGCCATCTCCTCCTCGCGAGATGACGGTTGTTAGATTTTTGAAAGCGTGTTATTCATGACAACTAGTTCCATGAGACGTGTTTGTTGTTGCGATCACAGGTTGAATGAGTTCATTGCTTCAGTGGCTCATCGCATCACAGGTCTCTTTTTTAAGAGCCTCTACCCTTGACATTGTGTGGATTGGGGGCTTGCCCACTTCAGAGTAGTCGATGAGTTATTTTTCTCCATTCTGCAAAAACACAAATTATTGCAAAGACTACAATTTTACTATAAATTCCAATTCAATTCATGGGGAGGGGCACATCGAGCCTTATCATCCAACTTTCATGTCACGAAGATGCTTCTCCCCCAACTTTTTCATTGCAGCTAGAATAATAGTTATGGTAGTAGATTTTGGTAGTCGGTTAACATATTAACTGTTTCCTTGATTCCTGCTTCGATTCTCAACATCACTACTATTGGTTCATTGTAAATAATCTTTGTTTTTTTAAAAAGAAATTTGGAATGCAAAAGATAAATAAATGTACACTTGTTGCTCCAGAAAAGACACCTGCAACCTGAAAAAAATTCGAACTCATTCATTAGTTGTTGATCTTTACAAAACCGTGTAAATGTAGCATAACAACTTCTTCTTACAATTACGTTGATTGCCTGCACTGAAGCTTCTGTAGCTTATGTTCATCATATTATATTAGCTACGATTCTAACCAACCGTGAGAAACATGCACACATCAGATTTTTTTTTTTATTTAATGCGTTTTACAGTTCAAGATTTTATTGTTCCTTCTGATCAGCTAAAATCTACACTCATGGAGATTGATTTACAAAGATAATGCAGTTCATCACGTGTGTACAGGAAACGAGAGGTTCCCATCGACCCTGCTCCAGACACCGAGCTGAAGCCACGGGGGACGTCAGCTTTACTGTGTTCGTGAGACTCGATTTTCCCCTCCTCTTTGGTCATCGTCTTCGTCTTCCTCGAATTAGGGTTTCGAAGGGAGTAGTGTATGGAATTACAAATGCAATCGACCAATTGAGACCTGCACCACTCCTGGCGCTCGATCCGGGCCAGTGGGACTTTCAGTATGTGAGCTTCACTCCAATCTTCCAGCCATGGGCGACCATGTGCAGCAGAAACCCCGTGACGGAACCACTTCGTCGCACAGATCTACACCTGCTGCAACTCCTCCCTCTTCCGCTTCTTCGCCTTTAAAGGTACTTATCCTCTCTCGCCTTCCCATCCAATTCAATCCTGCAGCCCTACGGAAAAACCTCACATGGCTCCCACAACCTCGCCATGCCTGATTGTGTTAGGTGTTGGTCGCCGGAAGCAATCTCCCATGGAACTGGTCACTTAATGTTTATCGGCCTAGTACTAAGGCTAGAATCTGTGCGTTCCTCTCTTTCATGACACCATATTCTCAATGTTTTCTTCCTTACATAATCATCGGAAATCACGTACTCTGGCTGGAACCCACTTTTTTGCACTTTGTAATGAATAGAGTATCTGGGATTTATTGGCTGTCAATGCTCTGAAATTGTGTGGATCCTGCGTTTTGGTCTCTTGGATGTAGAAGGGTACGCAACAAGTTGAGCTTGAACTTCGTCTGCTCGAAGCCTTCGCAATTTACCGTCCCTCCCTTTTAGCCGGTATTGCTTGATCTATTCCAAATCCCTTTCTTTTGACGATGGTGTATGAAGTAACCTGGGAGTGGTCTTTCTTTTCTGGGTGTCTATTTAAATACTCGTCAGAGGTGGCTTCTGCCTTGTTTTCAAGGAAATCAATGTCTCCAGGTCTTATTTATTTTCCCAGCTGCTGCAACCTGTTAGGGCTGCAGAAAAGAGGGTTCAATGGTGTGGAGTATCACCATAATTAAGTCTTTTTTCCTGCTCCGCAAGACTGCGGAGCGACAAAAAAACCCCGTAACTAGCGGTAAGACTAAAGTTGAGATTTATACTAATAAACTCGAAATGGCAGGGATGCACCGTCATTTCATCCTCTTTGGCCTTATGCATCATCTTGAGAGAAGGTCAGTACCACCATGGTGTTTGTTCGATAACCTTCGAGCTCGTAGATGTGCCAAAGAAAAGTCTTCATACCTGCTCATACAACAATTTGGTTAGTGATTATCTTTTCTGGATACAGATTAAATCAACGATTTTCACCTGATGAGGTCCTGCAACTTCTAGATCGTTTTTTCAATTTGGACCTTCTGGTATGTGGCTTTTTCTCACCCAAGAAGCTCTTCGTGTGCTTAAATCAGCTTCCAGAGCCTGCTTGCGTAAACTCTGATTATGCTGTGTCCATCTCATTGTTTTACTGAAATTGCGACAGTTCTACAGCTGTCTGTTGTGTAATTTTGAGGTTGATATGTGTCGTGGTTAGCAGTTCCAAAACGTGTAGTCGAGAGAAATTTGTGGATTTTGATAATGTAGGTTTGATCGTTTGGACAGGAACCGGATGACGAAGAATTGGAACTTGTAAACCACAAAGAGGATTTTTCTCTGCCGCAATCTATTCTTGAGGAGATAAAGAGGAAGAAGATAAGTTCATGAAGCATTCTTGTTTTAACTTCAAGCTTATTTGTGCCAATTGAATACCTGCTATTTCTTCTCCACATGGAGCAGCCAGATTAACAAGTCTTATAGGCTCATGTCCGAGCAATATGCAGTTGTGATCTACGTTGGTAGACAGAACTCGGATGATGAAGTAAATGTATTTGTAGGATCTCAGATAGCGTGTCACAATCATTGCAAATTGTGAGACGATGCGTCTTTTACATGCTTGAAAAAGATGTAGAGTCTTGCTAAAAAAAGTACCTGTCAGATTGATAATGCGGTTGTGTATTAATCGTCGGCACCATCTTCAGTGTTCAGAACACGGAAAATATTAGATTTGCATTGAAGATGGTGTCGACTTGCAATCGCTTCAACTGCAGCACTGATTAGCAAAGGTGACACCTGCATGGGCACTTCCCATGCAATCCCATTAAAGATGTACATTGAGGTTGAGGAGTAAGATTTCGGAGATGTGTCGGTCTAAATATCCACTCATTATTGTACTGATGCCATTTCATAATGCCATACTCTTTATTTGTTCTAGAATAAGAGCAATAAGATTACACTTGTTTAGCCGATATATTACCTTAGTTCAATGCCTAATAAAACGAATCTGTTCTTTTGAATGGTATATAATTTTTACACAACTCAATTATATGTTTAGTAATGAGTTGTATCATTGGAGCAATCGGCATGCAATTGAATCAATTTGTACACTTGATGTTTTTGTTTTGCCTACCCTATTGCAATCTGGAACTATACTCATGTTAAAAGAAAATGACAATATCTTTAAAGTAAGGAATAAGGTTCGCCAACAGACTGATCCAAACTTCAAAAACGGTCAGAAACACTGACCTTCTAATTCAAAAAACCTAAAATGTGAACACACAAGTCAAGTTAGAGAGAGCCGGTACAATATCGCGATAATTTGTTTTCATTAACTTAAATGGTATTACAATCAGTATCTTAATATGAACTGCTGCACAACGTGGGGCACTAGATATGTATGTCTGCCTTTGTTCAATATTAGGAAACGTCTCCTCACACCCTACTTCCAAGTGGATAGGTTACTGTACATACAAAAGCAGAGGAGAATCACCAACGACCGATTTACGAACACGTCTTGTCATTATCATCCTCCGGCTTCTTCCCGAACCAGCCAGCTACAATAGGAGTGAGGGCTACTGTTGGGGGGAATCGAACTGGTGACAGTGCCTTGTGCGCAGCGTAGGCCAGTGCAAATGTTCCAACTTTCTCTCCAGTGTCATTCGCGTGAATGCCAACCTGTTGCCATATGATAAAAATACGATTACTGAGTTACAATAATAATTGATTTTCGCAAACAGAAACCCACCAATCCACTTCCTCAAACTCATAACAACAGCAATCCTAGACATTTAACTAGTCTCAGGCATTATCTTAACATACAACATTATATTTCTACTTTTATACCTTTTTCCCTTTCAAACGTACCTTGTCCAACAAGCTGGTAACGTCCACCCCAGCTTGTACAAGAACGTAACACAGTGAGAATGAAACTATAGACAGTGAAATTGATGTCACCAAATAGGCTCCTCCATAGCGCTTCAAAAGTTCCTTTGCTTGATTAGTTTTGGTCCCCTGCTCTGGACTGTTTTCTTTGTCCTTCGAAGAGAAGATCTGCGAGAGAATTTGACAAACAGTGGAATCAATTCATCATACGGTTGGCATGAAGAAGTAGGACATGGTTGTGAACATTGAAATTTAATTCCTGACAGTCGTTCCCATTCGAGATTCCGAAAGTAGCTCCAGGTACAACACAACAGCATTGCCCTAAGCCAGGTTCAGCTTGGTGTCTACCGAACATCGATATTCTTGCAATGTAAACCACTGGCTTGGACTCCTCCTAAGCCAGATTAGCTGTCAAAACATGGGAATGAAAGTATCCAGAGACAAGCAACAGACCGTTCCATTAGAATTATTTGTCATTAGAATTATTTGCACATCAACCCTTGACCTAAGAAGTCATCCAAAATGAAATAGAGACCTTCCATAGCCCTGCTTCAAGTCCATATTTCTTTGTCACGGTCTCAGCATCTATATCCTTGGTGTCCTGCTCTTTCTCCTTCCCTTCCTTTGTTGCAGCGCACAACACTCCCGAACGCTTTGACCCAACCAAACCCAGCACCGGCATGGTACTTAATGGACCAACCTTTCCGCCTTTCAGTTTGGATCTGAAACCGCTGCACATCAATCCGCAATAATAATCAGTTACTTGTACCTGTTTTCTTGCTCGATGAGAATCGAGAATCCTGATCGGTATCTACAAAAAAATCAGCGCCGTGTTCCCACGAGAGCTCTGCGTAGATTCTATCATAGAAAAAGTGGTCGAATCAGGTAGGACAATCAGGGCACATGGAAGAAAGCGCTTCCAGAAACAAATACACTCCTAAAACCCTACACCCTATTCAGGACAAGAATTAAAACAGCGATTGAGCAGGGATACTGAGCACTGAAGAACATGGATACTGAACACGAGGCTGCGTAGTGGTAAACGTGTAGAAGAGAAATTGAGTAGAATTTGCTGAAGAATGAGCGTAGTAAGCACCAAGAACTGGGTCGAACGTTGCTGCTAACAACGGGGGAGGCATGGACAGGGAGAGAAGTGCGCCATTCGTGCACCAAGTCAGTCGAAAGTAGTGACATCGCAGGGACCCGGTTGTATAAACCTCTCCAACAGCAAGGAAGGAGACAACGCGTAGCACAGAAAGAGCCGAATTGAAACAAACTCACGACGGGGGGAGAAACACCCAACAACCGAAATCACACACAGACTAGGAAGAAGAAGGGGAGAGGGAGGACGGAGAGGAGATGAAGAGGACGTTACGACACAATTGGGGGCGAGATAGGGTGGATTGCGAGAATTGCGTTCGGGTTTCTACGAGGAGAAAGGGAGAAAAGGAGACAATGCAGGTGCTGGGGTGTTCAGCAAGAAGGGAAAGAGAGGAGTGAACAAAGAAGTGGAGCAAGGAGAGACTCCGCGATGTTGTCGTTGCGAATTGGGTGGTGCCTAAATCATCATTGCCGATTGCTGGAAGTATTTGCTTGGTGCGTTGTTTGGAGTGAAAGGGGAGGTCGGACAAGCGACACTGCAGTAGATGTTGGTAGAGTAGAAAGGAGGAAGAGGAGGAGGTGAGGTTGTGGATGACGATATCCCACGGTGTAAGGATCCAGCATCTGCAGCTGCACGCAAGCAAGCAAGCGGCGGATTCCCAGCAGCACAGAGGAGAGATGTCATCCACAGCGGAGCTGACGCCAAGAAACGCAGGGAGCCCGGGCTGTGACCGATTCGTCACTTTTGAGCGGCGGAAAGCGGTAGTACGCGTCAATGCTGAACCCCCATTAGATACTATTTGATGGCCACTATTTGTAACGTTCGCCGTCTTGACACGTGAAGTAGTTTGAACACTTTTGGAATTTTGATACCACGTGGAGGGATTTGCAATATCAATATCATGGGAATACATACAATATATATATATATATATATAATTATTTAAGTGTGCGTGCATGTGTGTGTATTTTATTTTTACTTTTGTTTGTTTGTAAAGTGTAAGGGGATGAGCATTAGTTCCAAAGTATGTATAAATAGGTATTTTTGAATAAGTAAGCATTCTTACAAAGTCTTTTCAAATTGATCAGATTGGTAGGTCTTATTGAATACTAAAAATAAAAAATAAAAATGTTGTTTGGTTTATGCTTCTTAAAGTTTTTTGGTTGTGAGAGAGAGTTTTACTATCGATACATCTAATGATGGAAATTTACAAATAAGATTTCAAAATGTTTATAAGCTATTTAAAGAGTTGTGATTACGCAGATATGCATATTCAATTTTTTCAGAAGCACTAAAACTGTGGTTTGGATTATATTATATGAATTTTAATAACTTGACATTTTTAAAATCACATTAGCTATAGGCTATTCTTTACATCCTATTCAAGAAGTTTAATAAATAATATGTTACAACCTTCATCAACAGTTTTACATGTTTTACCCAGAGATTCATCTGTGCGTTTGTAGGTCAATTTCCATTGTAACCTCTGTCCGCACTCTACTCTTCACAATTCTACTGCACTGATCACATTCGTTGACGCTGGATTGCATATTTGGGACGCAATAACCACTTTGTGTGTCAAAACAGGCAAAAGGTGAGAGCTTTGAACTAAAAAATTTCATGAATTGAGAAAAAACAAAGCTTTTAAGGCAATTTCCAGTTAGAGGCTGGCTCATGACATCACTTAGAAGTTGTAATAGTAGAATACACAAATGACCTGGAGATTGTGTAGAAGTCTAGAAAACTGTAGAGTTTTACTTCAGCAGCAGATCAGAAAAATCGTTTCGGGTATACGATTTGAGACTAAAAACTTTCGTAGGCACATAGAAAAATTTGAGTCTGGAGCTGAGGTAGTAGTAGGCTAGGTTATTAGATAAGGGCTTCACATCACTAAAATCTTTAAGACAAATTCCTGAAGGAACTCCTGATCCATTGCCATCCAGTAACTAGGTATATTCTAAGAATTCCAGAGAATGCTTTCCTGTGAACTAATGTTCATGGTTCCTGCGGACTGCTCTTCTCAAATTAAGAACTTCCTGCCGTATATTCCAAACCACAAGTATGTTCGCTTTTGCTACAACATGTGGGGTGCGAGAAGAACATTCCACCTGAGTGTCAGCCTGACACCGGTCTCATGTATAAACAATGCAACACCATGATTGCAGCCAGAAATCAGATCCACAGTTACTTGGTGATGTAACCTCAAAGCCTCTCGTTGTGACGCCACATTTTCGTTTGAAATGATTAGACAAAATGCAGTCTCACATCTACGACTTTCAAAAAAAGTTGATGTGAGAGGATGTGCTCGATATGAGTGGTCAACTGAGGTGCCCGAGGAACTTGGAGAGAAGATGCAACACAACTGAGGGTTGATGGTTGTCTACGACTGAAACGGCTTCACCAAAATGCATGAATTGTACAGAATGTATAAAAGCGAAGCTATTTCTTATCCGACCAGGCTACACCAGGCTTGGGTACTTGGGCTGCGCGTGTCGCCGAGGGCGCCTTGGCATGAGTGTTGGGGAAAAAGGCATACCTGAGCCTAGAGAAAAATGGCTCAGTTGGAGGTGGGTAAGGAGACGGGTATGTGGGCATAGGCACCCGCACAGTTTCTCCACCAATTACAGCTTCCAAAAATTTGGTCCCTTCCGGATACTGGACTCCCTCATCATTGCCCTTCTGCCCAACCAGCACCGCGGTGATAGCTCCTGCGAATCATGACAATCACTTTCAGAAGTTCCTTATGCTTGCAGGCACAACTCTGCAGATTTGAAGAAAAACTTCAGCTACCTAGCTCCAGCCCAACCGACCAGGAGAATATCCAGTGTTGATTTGGGAATTGACTTATTATTCCAATGCAGCGTGTTACATGCTGGCAAGTATACAAATATTCAGCTTTATGTATCTTTGGAGGTCGAGCTCTAGGTGCAAAGCTTCAATAAACGGCTTCAAGAAACAAATTCTTCATCAAATAAGCAGAGAATAAAGGATGAGAATATACCCCCTTCGCTGAGTACGATATGGTGTTCTTGTGCCCTCCAAAAGAAGAGATATGTGTGGAATGGTTCATCTGGTACTGGAATAAGTTTTACCGCAGCAGCGAAAGGCATGCTGCAATAATCCTCCACCCTTCCCATTTTAATTAACGGATGCCGTATAGACATTATACAAGGAATTCGCAAGTTCATTTACATGTACTAAGACATAATCGAAAATGAAGGGGCTGAAAGATCAGTTGACAACAGATATAGAAAAGAAACAACATACCTGAGTAGGCCCAAGCATACACATAATATCCACATTTGCCAATTCAATCCCACTGTGGAAGCAAAGTCGCCTGCAAATTCCACAATCAAAGCCTGACAACGCAAGCCCCCAAAACAGAGGCACTATCAGAACAGATTTGAATTAATTAAATCAAACAATCAACCAGAAAAAGAAACTAATAAAGAAAGATGATCCAATATCCAACCTGAGTAAGACATGCGAGAAAAACTGGGTAAACGACATACCGTAAAAAGTAAAATTCATTTATTATTTGAAAGTGAAAGGTGAATTCTAATGACTGATTACTACAACATAAAATTCAAAAACACGCGGTATATTTAAAAACGTAAGGGCACATGAATGAGAACCTGCATAATACACGTGAACAACGTGACGTACAGGAAGAGATGATTATTATATAACCCTTCGAAGACATTCATCGCATCAGGCTTCCTTGCATTTATCTCATTGAATATCTGCTTCATTTATGGTGTAAAGATTCAACAAATGATCATGGAATGTTTAATAACTCAGTCCTCTAAATATACGGACTTTCATATCAGCATTTTCAGATTAGCATAATGTCTGCTCTGTCTAGATTGTAACAATTCACACCTGACAGAACACGAAGGCGTTAAAAATGATAGTCTGAAGCTCTTCCTCTCTTTCTGTCTTCTCTGTGACTGGATTCCACTGTGACACGCCCACCCAGAGTTAGTTTATGCAACAAAGAACTAGGGAGACTTCGAAGCTTGCTTCAAGGCAAGGCATCAACAAATGTGCTGTGCTTAAATGGCGCTTCTGTCTGTTGCAATCTATTACGATCGTCGAAACACTATGATGCTTTGTATCTTCTAGGATAACAGTCTCATCATGTAATCAGAATCATGATAAGAGGGAGTCTCACAGTCTCGTCATGGAGACCAAGAATCTCATAGCCTTTAAAATGCAGCACAAGCAACATAGACAGCTGGTACAGTGTCTGCGTGTGAAACAGCCAAGTTTATTAGATAATAGAACAGCGGTGAACATTCTTTGTTACATCAAGGAATCCTGAAAAATCCTTTCGAACAGAACCTAAACCTTAACAGCAACATACCAGAACCTTGCAAGAAGCTGGAAGTGGTTGAAATATAAGAAGGATTACAAACATTGAGAGTGAGATCCAGATGAAATAGTAGCATACAATTTTTAGTGGGAACATAATATATGACCAGGGAACCATGTACCTGACCAACGATGTTGCGCCACATGACGTTGGTTATCAGAGGAGTCCTACAACGTGAACCCCCGATAGAGTGTCAACGTTTCGAAAATGAAATAGACCACTTCGTTATTTTATAAGCCTGCATGTGAGTAGTACACACTTTGCTTACGTGGATGGTATAGGTGGTCTTTGCATAAGGATTTCCGTTGGAGGTTCTGTAGCTAAAGCCAACGCACCCAAAGTGTCCATGATCAGGTTCACCCACAGCAACTGCGGCATTCCAGAAGCAGAGCATTATTATCGGTCCTCATTGCGGTCAAGTCCAAGTAACATTGCCAAAATAATCACTTAGAGCCATTACTTGTGGCTCATGGTATTATGGAAACTACTGTTCTGGAGAAAAAAGTTAAGGTGCATTCCACATTGCTAAATATCTAGCCAGTATCGATTAAAGAAAATCAAAAGCCAGGTAAAGTTCAAGCATACCTGCACAGCCGTAAGAGGAGCCTCACCGCTGGCTAAGGCTGTGATGAAATTAAGCAACAATGCCACTCCGTTCACTGTAGTCTGAAACTGAATAAATTTTTGAATGTTCACGTATATTGACCTTCCCCATCTTACTACCTGCAACCAAAATCGCACTTTAAGAAAAGAAGTTGTAATATCTACTCCTAAAGCCGTCTTTGGATGCATGCACTTCTCTAAATAGCACGTCTGAAACCCAAGCAAGACACTGTCCAATCTTCTGATGAGCGTGCATCTAAAAGCCTGGGTGCACAATATTCACATACCTTAACAATGGAGGCAAAGTTATCATCTAAAATTATAATGTCGGAGCTCTCCTTTGCCACCTCTGTACCAGCAATGCCCATGGCCAGTCCAATTGATGCCTTCATAAGAAAACAAGCGGAAAGTCAGGGGAATTTTAATAGTACCCTCGTCTAAAGGCTCGCTGAGCAGCAATAAAGCGATGGAAGACTGTGCAAGCTGCACAAGTTAGAACTTGAGTGTAACATACTTGTTCTCGAGACAGTACGGATTTAAGTGGGCAACCAATGCAATTATCGCAGTATTTGCACCTCGTGTAAAGCTGGGGCATCATTTGTACCATCCCCAGTCACTGCAACTATTTCTCCCATCTCCAGCAACCTTTTTACAAGCGTGTGCTTGTCAGTAGGAGAGGATCTTGCCATAACCTGCAGCAGATTAAAAGATAAAAAGATGTTCAAAAAGACCTCGTTGGCATTTGCCAGTTATGACTACTAAAATTGATGCAAAGTTCTTACTGATACAAGTCAAATATCAAAAAATGGTCAATGAAACAATACGTGCACAATCTGGTTACATTGCCTCGACTTTTTGGAATTTAATCATACCTGTGAGGTATCAATATAGTCATCGACATTGCCAACCTAATGTGATGAGGAAGAAGTTGAAGTGGGACAAGGCTCAGCATGTTCCCTATAGAAGAGTGGTAAAGCAGAGGAAAGAAGGTGTAAAGTAGACAAAGATCTGCAAACTTACGTCTACATTTGGCAGCAACTCACACTGTTCTTCAACAGTCATGACTCGAAAATCCTTTCCTTCTACAGCTATGCCATTAGGAGTCAGTATTCCGCACTCTATTGCAATAGCTTTCGCAGTGTGAATGTTGTCTCCGGTCACCATTCTGACCTGAATTTGAGCTTCGAAAAAAGCAAGAGCAAGGGAATTAAGCGTCAAAAGAAGATATGGTTACTTCGAATAAAACCTCTGACAAACAACTCCACAGGGGTTGGTTGCAAAAGTTGGGCATAACATGTATTTAGTGAAACCAAGTGTGTCCGTTACTTTCAAGACCATTTTTAGGAAGGAAAACACGAGCCTTTAAACGCGTCATACTTTGATTCCCGCCGCCTGACATCTCGCTACTGCCTCAGGAACACCAGGCCTGCAGGGGTCTTTTATTCCCACTATAGCTATACACGTAAGATCTCCTTCAGGCAACCCATTTTCTTTAATTCTTTCAGGAGTCAACCCCGCTACCTCTTCAGATGTGAGTTCCTTATAAGCAAAGCATAAGGTACGCAACGCAGAGTTTGCAAAACTGCTAATTATCAACTTCAATTCAACCATCTGTTTCATGTCTCACCAAAAAAAAGTGAGTAGGCATTCCAAAAAGTCACAAGAGCAACCCACGGTCAAATTACATGACTAGGAGCATCTGCGACAAATTAATTTTAGAAATGTGAGGTTAATTGACAGGAGTTGTTCGATATACGAAAGTCGCAAGCATACTAAACTCCCCAAATGAAAACAAAACAAACAGAATCTACTGTTTTAAAATGGACTTTAATATAGACTTTAAGAACCATTATTACTAATCGAATGAGTGCGACGGATACACCTTCTCAGGATCAAGTGGAATCATTGTGCCATCCGGTTGAAGTATTTTAGAGCAAAAATCCAATACGATCTCAGCTGCCCCTTTCCAATGCACGTACGTTTTCCCCTCTTGTGTCTGCACCAGGAAGACACTATTGAAGCAGTTCCCAATTAAAAGGATGCTCTTCCTCGCAGATAGATCAACATGGATGATGCAACACCAAGATGAACATAATCTGCACAAACTTATTTTCTATAAATGGCTTCGTTTCCTGCCGCAATTAAAGGAAATTGGGGCTAAATTACAATTCCGACTCACACTAAAGCAGACTCCCATTTTCTTCTTAGTGGAATTGAAGGTCTCCACTCCTTTCACAGTACAACTTTTCTTGACTTCGTCGAACTTTGCACCTAACTGATCAGATTGATAGAAATAAATCAGCAGTTCATAATAAAGAGTGAGCATAAAAGACTCGACATGTTGTGAAAGAAGCTTGACATGCGCAATTTTCTGCTCTGGTATACCCAAAGCTGCACGCTATACATCACTTCAAACAGAATTATTTATGGAACCATTCAGGAAAGAAAAGAGCACTTCTAACTATGATCAAATTTGAGAAACTCGTGCACCAACCTCGAAGATTTGGTGATATTGTTGTCAACAAAATTGCAAAAATCTTAGATAGGTTGTGAGCTAATAAACTATTAAATGCGTTACAATTGGAAATATCATACCTTAACTCCCCAAGAGAGCACAGCTTGTTCGGTGGGGCTCCCACTCACCTCCGGAGGCCCCCCCCCCTACAATAGAAACATGGATAAGTAAAAATGTATCGCTAACGAAGAGCTCCGCATCGAATGATGCACGTTGCTTGTTGATAAGAAACGATCGCATAACAGAACTACAACAACATTGTCCCTCATCTTACGCCGACAACTGAAAGTGTACATCGAGTATGATTACCTTGGGAAAGAACACATTTCCGTTGCTGTTGAGGCAGACACTTTGAAAGATTATCTACAAGGTAAAATCATTAAGTAAGTCGCTCCACTGGTCCCACATAGTAGCTGAAGGCTTTCATTAGAAATTAATTGTCCCTGGACAAGTTAATCAGTGCTACCTCAGTAACTTGCGTGTTAACCTCCTGGTCGATTGAAGTGGATGTACGTAGTTGTCCACAAATCCAATTGGTTACGACCGTCATCTGGAGGATGTCAAGTAAACAAGTGTATATCAAATGCATACGTTATTTGGGGACTGAAAAATGTACATAAGCTGTGCAAATGATCTGAACATGAAATTCGAGCAAAGGAAATTCTTAACATTTAAATAAACTCCCGATTAGTAGCGCACAAGCATGAGCATGATGAGTTCAAAGGGTGAAAGATGAATCGGTAAATACACTGCAAATGACACGCAGAACGAGAGTCAAACCAAGCTACCACCTTACCAATAATATGAATCACCTGAGGCACTGAACCGTACTACTTGTTTCGAAAAGTAAAGTAGAAAAATATAAACAAGCTAAACCTGAGCTCGTGCAAGTGAGTACAATCAATTTGGAGACTTAAAACATGTCATGGTCAAACCACCCCCATAAAAAATGAGAACCCTCAAAAACCAAGCTTAATACAACCTTGATACTGACCCAATTTCACATACAGGACATGAACTGACCAAGTTCATTGTAAGAGTTCCCGTTTTGTCACTGCAGATAGCTGTTGCAGAACCCATAGTCTCACATGCCGACAAGTGTCTGACCTGAGCAATATTCATGCAGTTTCAGAGTTGCAGGTAAGTCTTCAAAGAAAGATTACAGGCAACAGCACATGTTTTGGTATATTACTTTAACAGACCAGAGCTTTATAAATCTTACGATACAACTTACCAAAGCTCGGTCGTCCATCATCTTTGCCATTGAGTATGCTAACCTGTTTAAAAGCAGTACAACATTGAAAGTATCACCTACACCAAACCTAGCTAAGGCTACAACATGATCCTCTCTGAAAGGAATAGAGAACCAACCAGAACGTTAAAGGACTTTGAATTGGAAAGGGTGAATTATCTGATCAAGAGATTTATATTAAATGTATGGGTGTCAAAGGTTCTGACGTCAAAGTTACTGCAAGAGGCAGTCCTTCCGGCACAGCCACCACCACAATAGTCACCTGCGTTTATCCCACATTACACTCCGTGTAACTCATCCTCACGTTAAAACTACGGAGTTAATAAACAGAAATAAATAGCATTTTTAGGGCAAGAACTTTCACTAGAGCTGGTCAGGAAAAAGGCGAAAATACCAGAGACCAGGAAAATCTGAATACTTACTGCGATTGCGAAATAGTCGACAAATTGTTTTCCATCACTTCCAGAAAAATTCTTGAAATCAACAACCGCCAGGAACCTTTGAGAGGTAGAAGAGGCGATAATGAGTCTACTTTACCTCTGAGGAAAGAATCTGCTTCACTAAATTAACAAAGCAATCTGTGGTGAAACGAAATGTATATGAAAATCTGATTTTCATCTGATGGCCATTTGAGAGCGTGAAATCGACAGTTCGTGTGCAATGCGCACAAGAATATTAACATTTTACATATGCATGTGGCGCAGTTGCGTTCCTACACACATAACTCCTCTGACGATTCAACAGTATTATTTCAAAACCATCTCTGGAGCTCACTATGTTCTCACCGGCAAACGAGGACAATGAAGACGACAACAGCAAAGCTGACGCCAACTTTGCCAACAGTCGTAGCGAGGCTGTTGAGGCGCTCCTGCAAAATACGTCTGAATATGGGGAAATACCTCATACAAAAGGAAATCATAATCATGCTAATACTGCATAACACTGCAATCGATCACCTAAAACATGAGTGAATAACCTGACGCAAGAGAGAAAATTCCAGCAAAAAACATGGCGTTCTGAAACAAAGGAGTCTATCAGGGAGGGCCAAAATGGATACTGTTTCAGCTCTACACTACCTCACCAGCAGCAGCTGTGCAAGATTAAAACGTATCCTTAACAAGGGCAATGTAAGGTCTTTGTCTTCTTGGTGGTTTACATAATACTATGATCGACTCTAGAAGGCAAACCATTGCAAACCTGCAGAGGAGTTAACTCATCGTTATCTTCACTAATGGTCGCCATCAATTTCCCCCACTCAGTTGCCATGCCTACGGCTGTAACCTGCACAGGTCACACATGACTATGATCCATTCTACATGTTTTCCTTCCACTTGATCAAACATGTCACAGAAATAATTATATCCTCACAGAAGATGTACAAACATGAGATTTTTATGCATGCATTCTCATTTTATATTCCAGAATTTTCTCAAGTAAACATGATAGGGATCGTATGTTTCCTGAGAAAGCGCGATAATCTTGTGATGCATTGTGCAATTAAAAGTGACTACGCAGACTTCTTTATAAGTATAAAACAAGGCATAAGGTTTATCTGGAACAAACCATCATGTCGCCAAAACCATCCATTACTTTACACCCTGAAAGCATAAAGGGACGCTCCTCTTCATCCTTAGCCATCTGCACACAGCCATTTTGTCATCTTCCAAAAGAGGTTCTCATAAGGAAGGTCTGGCACACTTACAGATATAGATAGATAGATAGATAGATAGATAGATAGATAGATAGATAGATAGATAGATAGATCCCACGAACCAAGTTAGTTCCATCACTGAACATTTTTCAACTAAAGTCTTTGATTATGCGCAAGAGCATTATGACACCGAAGCAGAAGACAATCGAAATTGGAGAGATGATGAGATATACAGACAGGTTCACTTTCACCAGTCATACTCGATTCATCCACAAGCATTGAATGCCCTTCAATCAGCAGTCCATCAGCAGGTATCTGCGTTCAATCGAAAACTCCCACACAACACATTACACATAGAAGCAGTCGTTATGTATTTCGACTTGAACTGTGACATCATATATCAAGTCATCGAAAACACATTTTTGGTGATCATGTAATAAGCAGTTGTGTTCTGCTTAGAACTCTCAACCTCCAAATTCCAGTTGAGTATGACAAGCAATACATAACAATTACCTGCACAGGTTAACAAATTAGAAAGAAGATTCATTGATTTCTCTATAAAAGTGACAAAAGAATGTCGAAATGACTTGACACTTACTTGATCACCAATGTTGAGCTGTACAATGTCACCCACCACAAGATCAAAAATAGAAACTTTCATCCTCCTTGAACCTCTGGTTACCTGTTCGCAAAAGATTTCAATATTTAGTAAAGAAAGAATCTTTTGCGACAAATTATTGAATCTAATGTGCCCACTAGAAGGTTGAATAAGACACAATGTTTTATTTTAGCACATTGACACAACCAAAATAAAAGTCCGTGCAACTCACTCTATTACCATAACATCGACCAATCTAACACAAACAACAGATCATTTAGAGGTTTTGAGGAAGTTCCTACATTGATTAAGATCTTCCGCTTCTGAGCACTAAGCTGTCGAAACTGTTGGGCCTGTTGATAATCACTGACGGCTGCACTTCATATCATAACCCAACAGCAAAAATGTCAGAAGGATTTGCACCATAAGCGTCAATGTAGGTGACATATGAACCATTCAACTACTCCCTATTTGCTACGACTCAGATACAAACATATAAAAGGCTGTTAAAACTTAACATGAAACCATGACCACCAGGACGATTGCAAAGCTTATACCACCTCCATCATACCAGCCTGTTGCCAAACCCTGCACCCAACACCTTAACAGTTTAGCTACACGGATGTAATGGTCACTATTAGTCCACCAATATATTGGACCATATCCGACCCAATAACCATGGAGACATCTCTTCAAAGTAAACGCACCTCAGTGGTCAATCCCACAACCAACGACACAATGGCGCAGCATACCAATATCAACAGTGTCTCGTCTCTAAAAGTCTCCAAAACATAAGCCTATGCACAGGTCATTATAAAAAATCACCAACAAACTTCATTGTGCAGTAATGTACAGGTCAGTACTCAATGCTCACTTTCATCCTCACATAGTAGGTTACTCCACATTCTTTTTCCTGTTAAAACAACTCATAAAAAATTTACACATTAAAGAATTTAAAAAGATTACCAAAAATATTTTAGCCTTCTTGACTGGATATGTGTTTGGCCCGAAGGCATCTTTCCGTAAGTTAATGTCAGCAGGAGAGCCTTCAATTCCCTTAGCCGGATCGACTCTCAAGCTATTAGCAACACCCTTAATACCTCCAAAAGCTTTCAATGACTCAGGGTTTGATTCGAATCTGGCTATCTCCTCGGGTGAGATTGTGAACCCTGCTAAACTCCAAGGTGGCACTGCGCGCTCTGTGAAGGTCTCCGGTGGATATTGAGAGTCAGTAGCCGGCGTAGATCACTGAACAAGAGCTAAAGCATGCTCTAATACTTAGAGTTCAGCGCCAAAAATCAAAACTATTGCCATTGCGTTTATCCATACCAAACTATCGACAAATGTTTTAGTAAGCATCACAGTCACCTTCTGGTCCAGTTTTCTTCTTTTTGGAGCTGACTTTGCTATCAACTCGTTTACTCTTTTTGTCCTTAACATCCATTTTAGTCTCCTTCTTGGGATCAATTGCATTCGGTGGGGCATCACTTCGCACAGGCAGCTGGGCACTTTTCTGAAGGGCTTTCTTTGCAAGAACATCGTACGGATCTCTCTGTCCTTGCTGTGAAGGATCTTTTTGAACTTGCTGTGAAGGATCTTTCTTAGCATTCGGATTGTATACTGGACCTTCAGTCTTCTGCAACGGCATGATGATATACTTCTACGGCTTGAGTCACCTGCTCTCAAAACCGCACAAAACAATTTGAAGAGCTACATCTGTTAACAAGCTAAGAAGGGCGAAAAATAAGAGAATACATCACTACAGTATAATTACCTCATACATTCCATGTGCATTCGTAATGCAGTACTCTGTTTCCTTCTAATTGAAACCTGCAATTTCCAAGCGTGGACTTGATCGCGTGCCTCACTGTAAACTGCCAACATGAAAACAGCATGCTGAGCCCTAATTCAAGGTGGTTTGCAATCTTCTCCGCAGACCAAATTCAGGCTCTTTTACCCCTAGAGTGATCGTCTACCACGGATGCAGCTACTCCAAGTGTGGCGGCAGGCACGATCTTCCCATAAGCTTCGCCGCCGTCAGAAATGTAGACTACTCAATTCCCTCCACTCATTAAGAAATTCATTCTCTCACTTATCAAATCAGACCGAACCCATGTCACAACTATGACTGGAATCCAGAGGTCCTCCACTGTGTCCATCATGGACGCTACACCATAAGTTCCAAAGTCGATTCGTTGCTCACGCCACAGGCAAGACAACTTCCAAGCTGGCAAGCTTCAGAATGGCTTACGCAAAACCGGCTGCATAGTTCAAAGAAAATTCGGGCGATGCAAGAGTGGCGATGGTTTGAGGGCAATTAAGGAAGAACAACAAAGGGTTGGTAAAAGGAAAATGAAAGACTGGAAGCGTTGCATTTAGAAAAGAGAATTCAGAGCGCATCAAGAGGAAGAGATGTTAGGATGTTCCTGGTTGTTTGGACTTCCAGTATTAACCGCCTTTCCTATGACAAGTTCATGTGAAGCCAACCGACGCGAGCCAAAGCGTCTACTCATTCTCAGTACTCAACGGTCAATGTATTAGTAACCTAAGCTTCACTTGCATACGGTATCAAGCAGGGACCCCCATAATTCCCTATCTCGTTTGCAACTTCGAAGTTCCTTTGTCATTCAGCAAGTCTGCAGAAATGAGTGGTGTAGTTGTTCGGTGAGGGGCACACATACCACGATCACTCGAGTTTGAACTCGAGATGTGATTGATAGACCACCACAACCTCAAGTGCATTCACTTCTATTAAGTTGCACGTATTTTCCACGACCATAGATTCTTCGGTGTACAATATTCCATCGATCGTTTAAGAGATCGATAACGAGACGCTAGGCTGTAAAATCCCATAGAACATGATCACATAGAACCTAGCCAGGATTACTACTTTAGTAGAATAAGAAAATCATTATTCATCAACAGATGAAATGGCAACCAGCGGAATAGGTGTGTTAATTACGTTATGAAAATGGCGGGGAAACAATATCAGATCAACTTGCGCCAAACATGAGTAGTAATGAACAATTGATATTCTAGTAAGGTCTTCCAGAACACTCACATACTCAATAAGTGCAACAGTCCTGAACTATATATTTAAAAATCCAGAACCGCAATAACTTTTTTCGGTGAAAGCGAACTATGCTCCAGAATAGGATGCGGGTGAAACTTGAACTCAAAAGATCCGTCATATGCCTCTTGTTAGAGGAAAGGGATTCTTAACAACGTATGATCCTTGTAAACCACCATCTCTAAACAACTTCAGCATTAAACGAACTCAAATATTAAACGCGAATCCAAAATTTTAGTCGAGCTTATACGACAGAAGCATGAGGACTAAAGATAACTACTGGTGCAATCAGATGAAGCCAAAGGTGAGGCACACTTCAAATTACTCGAATGTAAGCACCTACTGTGCTGTCGATGCAATCATGCCAGTACTTCTCGCATAAGAGAAGATGCCACCGGCATCGATTACTGGTCCCGCTTCGCCAATAGGCTTTAAGTGGTATTGCTTTCCAGTGCTGTGATTCACCAAAACATCATTATCCATATCCAAGGTCACAATATCTCCAGTGTGGTTCTCTTCCCAAATCTTCCCATTGGTCTCAACTGGGTACAGCTCCCCTGTAGCTACTGAATTCCGGAAAAAAATCCTTGCATAAGATTCGGCAACCACAGCACGACAACCGGCAGCACCCAAGGCCACTGGGGCATGCTCCCTGCAAATTTGAACAAAATCAAAATGAATCCTCAGACGAGGTCGCCCATACATAACCAGACAGGGATATTCCCCAATATGCTAATACATGCTGGACAGAACACAAATGTGGTTTCTCTGTCCCAATCAACGTGTTCACAATGCAAAAATTGTGAAAAATTCACCATGTACGGAGTGTCACAGTTCCGAGCGAGAGATCGATTAAAAGCCGTCAGAATGGCACCTACCTGGAGGACCCGCATCCAAAATTGCCACCACCAATAATGACCTTGTACTCGGTCTTCATTGCTCCATCTTCGATGAATTTGCCCCATTGCGCAGGGAGTCCAATCATAGCGTAACTGCCAAGCTTCTCGTACTCCTCAGGTTTTGATGGTACCAGAGTAAGGTACTCAGCAGGGATAATCTGGTCCGTATCTATGTTATCCCCGACGACGAAGCATTTTCCATGAATTACACGACACCCACGACCCGACTCACTGTCGACCACAGCGTCGGCCTCGTTAGCAAGGGCACGCAGCCTGCCAGCATTAGAAACGACACCCTGACTCCTCTGCTTCTCCACTTCAAGCCGCAACGCAAGGCCCCACAGGGCACTCCCCGCGCAGGCAACGCCTTGTGTGAAGCATGGCACCGAAACACAGCGTAGCGAGGCCCGGTGCAAAGAGCAAGCGAACGACGAGGTGATGGCTGAGCTCGCAGGCCCAGCCTGTTGTCCCAGTGCGACCGTAGCCATGCCGCTCCCCGGCAATTCAGCAACGATATCCCTAATTTCACCTCAACAACAACAACAACAACAATTCAAGGCTCACGAGAAATAGCAAGCAAGTAGAAAGGCAGTGGCGGGATGCCGCGCCACAAGGAAGTGGCATCCACAGCTACCGTGGAGGTCCTATCACCGTGAATGTCCAACTGCCACTTTCGCAGAGGCTGACGTGGATGGTCTCACGAGCTGACTGGGATTCGGGATCCAACTTCTGATAGCTTATCAGATACTGGGTGTTATATGGGAGAGAAGAAAATGTCAATTTTGGGTGTCAATTCAGTGTGTAATTCTTGGTTTCAAATAAGGAAGATTGCATGGAGGAAATCTTTAGAGATAGCTAATGTGGGTATATTCTAAAAATAGTGATTTAAAAGGGCAAGTGACACCCCTGTTGTAAATGCTTTGTAAACTGAAGCAGTGGAAGTAAATGATAACTTTAATGATCTTCACCCTACTTATTAATAAGTAAATTGTTTGATATTAAGATGTAAAAATGAGGTTTGAAATAAATTTTGGGTAGAATATCTATCACTTTGGTCTACTCTTGTTGCTTTTATTTGAAATCTAGTTGAAGAAGAAATGTTTTCATTTGTATTTCTTCAACATTTGTATGTTTTCTCTTTATCTTCTTCAACTAGATGTTCCTTAATAACTCCACAGTGAGAGAGAATATCTTGCTATAATATAATATAACATCTCCAATTAATATTGCTACACTCTACCTGATCTCCACACAACTTAAATTGATTGAAAAGCACGCTTCTATGTTTAAAAAGTATTTAGTAGCTCAATATTTAATCCAAGTATTGACCTATATAAAAATAAACCATTTTTTTTTTTTTTTTTTTTTTTTTTTGTGTTTTTGGCAGCCATATTAAAATCAAAACAAAATTTTGAATTAAAAATCTTTCAGAGAAAATAGAATGTCTTTTAAAAAAACATCTCAAAGATTATTTTTTTCATAAATCATTCATTGTCTCCCTCTAAACCACCAACCTTTCTTAAAGCAAAGAAAAGAGAAAACATACAAAAGAAAGAGACACATTATTAGCTAATTGTCTACAAGGAAGTCACGTGGAGTGTTGAAATATCAATTGGAGATGTAGTGTTAACAATTCACTACATATGTTAGTGCCAATTTTTGAAATTTTCATTATTGCAATTATGTTAATAATCATCTAATGATCACATTTTTATTTTGAAACTATATATATATATATATATATATATAAATAATTTAAAAGTTTTCTTGAATTATTTCCACAAATAGTAAATGTAAATTTAATGAAGTAATTGCTGTAATAATAATAAATTTGAACTGTGCCAGTAGATGTTGCCTTCTATAAAAAGAAATACCAACAACACTTAACAGAATAAGAAAAGTAAATGCGTTGAAATATATATTCACATGATTAAAAATCCACTTTGTCAGGCAATGATCATCAAACAAACAGTAATACCAATTGGGAAACTACAGAAAGAATAGAAAAGAATGTCAGAAGCAGAAGAAGAAATTGAAGGAGAGGAAGGATCCACTGGCCCAGCTGAAGTTCCAATGCCATCTGAAGTTCAATTAAAATTAGCCGAACAAGGAAATTACTTGGCCACCAATTTAAATGCCTTATTTGCCACAACAATGCAACTCAATGTAACCAAAACTCAACCCATTCCTCAAACATTCACGACATATCTCAAACATGAAATTCCTTCATTTTTCTTCTGAGTTTCTTTATTTTCCCCCTTGAAACAGTGTTTCTCTCGCTTGCAGTAAATAATAATAATAATAATAATAATAACAAGTGTTTGAAATGGTTTAATTGGTCTGGGTGGGTTGTGAATATAGGCTGACATACTTGCCATTCGTGAGATCATAAGAAATGGTCATGAAAAGCTCAGTGCTGATTGTAATAAGAAGATGGGCTTTTTCTCAAACCGCATTTCGATTATTGAGAAAGAACGGGCTGAAGAGAAATTAATTGCAGAAGCAGAGAAAAACAAAGCACTTGGCTTGCCTGTTGAAGAAGAAGATCCTTTGGCCAAATTCATCAAAATTCATGCCCAACTTGCTGACCTTGTCAGGTTCGCTGAAAAAAATAAATCCTATCTCTTATTTTTCCTTTACTTTCTCTTAGGGTTTATTCACAAATATTTGAAAGCCCCCATAATTTGTTATGTAAATCATTGCATTATAGGCATGTGGGTACATGTGTGTGTGTGTGTGTGTGTGTATATATATATATATATAAGTGTGTGTGTATTTATTGTAAAAGAAAAATTCTATAGTTTGATAATTTGATATTTGACAATGTTTTTGGAAATATTCAATATTAGGTCAAATCCAAGTATGATTAGCCAAGCTTGTTTGAAGCTGGAGGAAACGATATTTGCATTGGAACCGGACAGTACAGCACCACCTTCAGAAGAAAAAGATTTTTCTTAAGATGCTCTTGGAATGAATGGAATTACTGGAGAATTTAAATTCTTTTCAATTCGTGAGTTCAAATAAATCAATCAACCTTCGCACGATACTTTTTTTGATGTTTTCTGCTTGTATGTAAAGTTTTTGTAAATCTAATCAAATGTTATACTCTTGAAATTTACGCTTTTCCAGAAAAATGATGTGATAATGTGAAAATATTTGGATTTCATGTTACTTGAATTGTGAGTTTTTTTTTTTTTTTTTTTTTTTTTTTTTTTAAATATCAGTTTCAAATTGAATAAACTAATGAATAGTGCATTTATTGCTTGTAATTTTATAGAAAGCTTCAACATGGATGCTATCATGAACATTTACGATTTGAATTTTAATTGATTTTGATATTTGCACTAATCTATGATTTCAAAAATTCTGCAATGAATATTCGGTTTTTGAGTATTACAGTACTTACGTAGTTGCAAATTGGTTTTCTGTGCATTAATTTCGAAAGCGTATTTTTCTCCATTAATAAGTTTGTAAAAATATCCAAAACTAGCTTTGGATCAGCCATCTGAAGTTTTTATTTTCATTTTCATTTTTTTAATACTGATTGTTGAGTTTAAAATATTTTTACACACTTTTCTTTTCTTTTTTTCAAAAAAAATATATAACTGGATTAAGTGCAAATAAAACAAACAAAATTTAAGTAGTGTAAAATATTCCTTTTTTACTTGCTTCTAAAAATTTAGAACTACCAATTTTATTATGTGCTACTTTTGGACTTTTACAATCATAGATTGTTTGATGATACGTAAAATAATTTAGAACAAACATCTTTCAAACCCAATTCATATGCTTTTGAAAGAAGCAATACAAATTGCATATTTTTTTAAAGAATGGTCTCCACTATTTCTACATTTCAATTTTTCTTTCATATCTTGAGTCTTAATGATAATAACTATAATAATAATTATTATCATTATTATGCATGTATAATGTATGATTTTGCATCAACAATCTTCTTTAATAGTTATTTTAATGCAAACAATCATTTTACTCATAATAATTAACATTCAACTAGTCTTCAATAGTGTTACAAATACAGAATGTTCATTTTAATTTTTATGGAAATGCATTACAATATTAAATAGTCAAATAAATCTAAAAAATTTGTATTTGGATTATAAAACTTAAGTTCAATTGAGAAAAATAGCTTCTTGAATGAAAAAAGTTTGTTGGTATTATTATTGATTATTATTATTTTATAATAAAAAAATATTTATATATTCTTAGACAATTCAATTGCTTATTGTTGTACTACAAATGTCAGGCATCAAAAGCAGAGAAAATAGTTGTTAAAAAACTAAACTATATTAAAACACATGACTATTTTCATACACAATTGTTGTCATATTGTATTATTATCAAGTAACAACAGTATTAAATTGTAAAAAAACCATATTAAAAAGAAATTGATTGCCACTTTTTTCTAATCCGTGTACTAAAAGTTGACAAAAATTCTTGAAAAGATAGAGTTTAATTCTTTTATTATTGTTGTATTCTTATAGTGAGAAATAATTTTTTAGATTATAAAATTTAATTTATTTTGTTTTATAATCTATTTGATATATATAAAAATAAAATTCTAAAATATAAACCCATCATCTTTGCTAGATGAGATTTCTAATATATATATATATATACACACACTTTGATCCCTATGTAAGCTTAGTGGACATAGAAATTATCACCTCATGGAGACTTTTATGTTAATCAAATATTTGAGGTTATAGGTTATAATACAATAATAATATAGTGTAGAGTATCTTTTGTCTGGACCACTACCAATTCTTGTCTATGCATCTCTAATTCATGGCTACATATTGTTAGATGGTTAACTACTATCTTAATAAATCACAACAACTATATCAAATATGTATCAAGTAAATAAAAATATTAACTCACCTATGTAGAACAAACTTAGTGAGGGCAAAAGATATCATGCAATAGATGTCATGGAGTTATTGGACATTAAGTTACAAAAGTATTACCCCACATGCAATAGAGAAAATAATTTATCCATTTCAAAAACTATTTAAATGCAAAACAAACCCAGTCCTTGTGCATAGAACTTTCATAAATCTTATTATGAAAGTTGTCTTGGTTGTCATTTGTTTTTTCTTGCAATGCAATGCTGGCTATGGCGATCCAAACCCTAATTGGCTCTCTCTCGCTGAAGCAGCAGCGAACAAGGCCTCCTCTGACGTCGGACCTGACGCGGTCCCACAGCGACGGCATTCATGGTGGCATCATCTCCCGCGGTCCAGACTCGGGAGATAGATGACAATTGGCCTGAGGAGGAGCAATCGTGTGGTGGTCCTTTGGCAATCCGTTGTTGTTGTTGTTGTTGTTGTTCCAATTGTCGAAGAGATCGACGAGGAGAACACACTGTGATGTGATGAGCTTGGTGTCATCGGGGCACACAGGAGTCTCGCTTCTTCTCGCGCAAGGTCTTGAGAGTGCAGGTGGTAATGGATGGGGTGTGCCTCTCGTGATGCGATTCCTGCCCTGTACTAACTTGGTCCGGAGGTGGTATATGTCGCGGTGATGAGGTCCCGAAGTAGGGGCCACAATCGTGTTTTTAGCGGAGGTCGCGTTGCGATTGATTGTGGAGGTTTGGGGTGGGGATACGTGCGCTTCCGTGCGTCACTGGATATGCTGGTGTGTGGTGGTCGTTGTTTCGAATTTCTGGTTGTATTTGTTGTTTGTTTGTTTGTTTGTTTGTTTGTTTTTGTCGAATACAAGTCGAGAGGAGGGGTTTCGTTACAGGGTTTGTTTCAGGGGGTTGGTCTCGCAAAAGCAACCCCCCGTGGGTGGTTTCCTCCGATTCTTCTTAGTGTGATTCTTGCTCTATCCTAGTTGTAGCTCATTTAGTTTTGATTTTTCAAATGATTTCTCAACGATTACTCTGTGAAAGTCGGTTTTGCGTTGTTGTTTGGGCAAGTATTTGCTCGTGCAGCCTTTATCTTTTTCGTACAGTGTGGTTTTAAAGTGGTCCATGGATTCTCAGGTTGCTAGAGACCTTATTGATCGCTGGGAGTAGAAAATGGGTGATCATCGTTATGCCATCTCCCAGAATTTCCTCTAATGGGAAATCGGCATGTATTTGGAACGTTTTGAGTGAAGGCCATCTAGTACAATTCATGTAGAAATGGACACTATTTTCTTTACATTTTTGGAATTGGCGTTTATGTTAGGTTTAGCTGCTAATGCAATTTACGTTGCCGCACGCGAATTACGTGATATCGTTTGGTTAACATGTGTCGTTGGAATGGCAGGTGGTGGAATCGTCTGATGCTGTGGAAGTTTTGGAGTAGCAGTTACAGTGTAGACCCTTGTTTTGTGCATCTTTTGGAATGTAGGCAGCAGTGGCACAAGTTAGGATTAAATTGACCTGAAAACTATATACGCATCTAGATTGCCGTAAATTTTTTCCAGTAATTCCAGGGAAGGAAACACCCTGGTCCACAGGCATGGCCCGTAGGGCTAGATGATCGCGATGGATAATTCGAATACAGCAGCCATGAATAAGGAGGTCAAGTTGGTGAAAGTAGTGAGGCCAGTCAAGGAGAAGGATGAAAAATCAGTTATCACAAGTAAAAAGACTAGTCGGACTAGCCCACGTTATGTTCTGAAAAGATCAATTAATGCACTACAAGGTCGAGATGTGACGAATAAAACAGCTCAAGCTGTCTTGTTTGTAGGCAAGGTAGTAGTTTTAGAAGCATTGCGACGAGTAGGTCACACTAACTTGTATGGCCTACATCGCCCTCTAATGTGGACCTTACAAGGTCTCTCCGGATTGAATTGTCTCGTTACTATCCCAGCGCCTCCTTTCAGCGGGTTACAGCGATGGGCCCCAATTCGGTTCCTTGCACGTGCCACTGAGGTACTGGTTTTGTTTTGTTTTGTCTCATTTCATTTCACCTTTCACACTTTGATGATATCAAACGTTTGGACTTAACATTCATTCCTTCTGTTTTAAAATATCCGTGAATCGTTTCAAAAAACTTGATGATTGGGCTTCAAATGGTTTCTAGTGAAAAGTGGGGTGTTAGAACTGCTGTTGATGTATTAGCAGTGTTTTTTTATGGAACGAGCAATGTACAATGCAGGAAAACAATAATTTGCGCAAGAAAGATGACAGTTATGGCGTATCTCAATGGCATGCTTCTTTCTGTTTGTTTTGCAGGGTTTTGCGAAACCCATCCTCTTCTTATCGTTTGCAGGTTTGGTCACAAATGCATACAAGCACAGAGACTCACGACGCAACGGTTTACGGCATAATGAAGTTCCTCAAAGAGATTCAGAGCATAGGACTATTGTTGTGCTTCCAAATACAGTCTCTGCGGATGATATTGCAGCTGGTGATGTCAGAGCTGGTGAAGTGGGCAGAACTGGTGAAGTCAGGGATCAAGACATCTTAGTAACCGAACGACAGGCATTGACTGTGGAAGTGTTGAAAGAAGAGTTGGACAAGAACAATGTCGCTCTACCCGAGTGGTGAATACTCTGGATATATTTGACTCTGCAGTGTTTATGTTACGCTTATGCGGGTGGGGGCTGTACGACTAGGAATCGATGAACATCTAGGCATTTCACGGCATTAAAGAGCTTCCACCGTTTTATTTATTTATTATATAGGATTGAGGACTCAGTCAAGTGAAAAAAATTGGTCATGGAACCAAATAGGTTGAGATTCTTACAAATTTACCGCTTGTACTTTTTCAGGTTTGACGACGGTGAAGTACAGAGGTTTTGGAGTGCAGCACATGGAGACACAGCGAAGTTTGTAAGGAGTGTGAGAAACACAATTGGATGGCGTCAACGCTACCAATTCTTGTCTGAAGCTGATCTTAAAGTGTGGAAGCATTTGGTGTTTTGGCATAAGAGTGATGCTCACGGCCGGCCTACTCTCATTATTCGCCTTGGTCTTGCATACACTGCTCTAACACCATCAGAGCGTCCTCTGTTTGCTCAAGCTATCGGTGTGTCTCTAAACTCTTATAACGTTTCTTTCTCATCATTATCAGAACGAATATTGTTCGTAAAGATCCATATCGTTTTGTGGATGGAATCATGATTTATAAAAGTGGTGACCAGTGAGCATTGAAATCTTGGATTCTAGCCTTGAAGGTAACGCCATGCAAGGTCTACCCTGGCATCCATTGTGTGGGTAGTTTCACAATGATGATGTTGGAGGTATACCTCAGTTCATATGTAAAATTGAATATTGTGGGTGCAGTGTCTCAGGTTGAGCATCGACTACGAAACAAGATGCCGAAAGATGATCCGCGCCTCACCGTTGTAATGGATTGTCGGGGCACTTCTGCATTTGGTTTCCCTTTAAACTTAATAAAGTCGTGCTCGGTGTTAGTTCAGGAACACTACCCCACACGCCTTGCTGCTCTCTTTGTCATTAATCTTCCACCGATTGTGCAAGTTCTTGCAAATGCGGTTCTTCAGGTTTCCTTCTTTTCTCTTACGCTCACCTTAGCTTTTTTTGTTTTGATTGTTTTTAGGTGAAATTGTTCGTCTCTCGAAGTATTTACATTTATTTTTAGGTGTTCATATGCATTCTGAATGAGTAGCAATAATTTAGACAGTATTATATTTTTTCAATATAAACTTTTTAGGGTGAAGTTCTAAGCAATTGTTATGTGGCTGGTAACTGCAGGTGATAAAGCCATCAACGAAGGAGAAAGTTCACATGGAAGGCGATAGGTACATGATTAAGCTTGCATCTTATCTTGGGGGGATCTTTGATGTGCCCGTTGTGTTAGGAGGGAAATGCTCATGTGATTACTGTGAGGGTGTTTCGACTCAGAAAACGGAAGGAAATATTCCACTTTTAACTCTCAACGCTCACAATGGTGTCGAGGAAATGAGGGTCCGGAACATGAGTTTGGAGGAGAAAGCCCTCTGTATACGCCAGTCTACATACGAATCGTATTCAGGAACACTTCGAGTGGTCATTACTGGCCTTTTCTTACTTTGGCTTGTGGTTGCCATGATCTCTGGCTATGGTGATCCGCATGTGTTTCTGTCGTAGCGAATACTACATTGTAAATACCAGAACAGGCAGATTACTCGCTAGATCATTTCGCCTCTCATCATTGTCTAGAGATGGCTGTTGGTAGACTGGAATGTTGAATGTGATTAAAAGTGTGTTGCATTTCATAGCTTTTGACTGAGGGCGTTAAAGTGCAGAATTGTGCTATCATTCAGATTATAATTAATGCAAGTTATGCTCAGCATTTCAGTTGAGAGTCATGTGCAAACAGGAGCATGTCAGTGCATTTGCTCCCTGCTCTTCGACTTGTTTTACTTATGTCTTGAAGAATACCCTCTGCTTCACAATCTCACCATATCTGAATCCGAATCAGACTCATGGGTGATTATTGTTACAAGTTGAGAATGTCCTTTCTTGAGAGCTTACTCGACAGTTAAACTGCCAAAACTTTCGATTGACTTGGTAGAGTAATCGCACTGTTCCGAGTTTTTGATAACTGAGACCATTATATTATGTTATCACTATCATTCTGGCAATGAACTTGACAACGTACGAATTCGTCAATGAGCGTTCCAAGCAAAAGCGCTTGAAACACCACTTGAAACGGACACCGCAGTCTGTCTTCTCGTTGATCTATTTTCAGTCTCACCTCCACCTGACGTCCTCGTCACAGCGTTCTGCACCTCTCGCTCGGTTGGGAAGACTGTCATGAAAGTATTTTGGCAATTTTTCTTGTTTTGTCAGTCTCCGGAACACGGCGATTTTTTTTCTTTTTGTTTAGTTTTTCCTGTCACCTGGGCGGTCTGTTCTTCTTGAGCCATGGATTATTGGTTCTGAAGTGCCGTCGTAGCCTGCAAGGCTGTCTTCAATTGAGAAGTTGGCCTTGGTTGTTTGCACATCAAGGGAAGACCATGTCTTTCGAAGTTGGCTTTTTGGACATACTCTTCTGGAATCGAGATTGAGTTAGCTCTACCCGCATGATATCGTTATCCTCGGAATATTGCGATCAAATACGTTACGTGCGGTTTTCTTCTTTTAGCTTCGAAAGACTTAAAGTGGTTTCTCTCAGGAATAGTAATATCATCAAAGAGTCGAAAAGAATCCAATACTTGCAGAACTGAAATATGATTTACTTCCGAGTTTGAGAAAGTCGATGATAAAAGGCTAATATACTGTGAGGGAGACGAAGCAGACAATGAAGAATCCAGGAAAGAAGCTGTTCCTCAAGGAGGTGAAGGTTATCTATTAAAAACCAAATTCCAATTCAAAACACAAAGTGGTTGCAATAGAGGATATTAATTCTGCAAGAGGATTTTTGAAGGTTCGTTAAGGGAGAGTTGGATGTGTGCTTGCTCATGCTGCAAGGACAGTTTGAGTGGTAGTGAGTATAGCCGCATTCCTAGCCTTTACTGAGCACAACTTTACAGACTATTGGAGCAGAAAGAAGCTGATAGTTATGGACTACGGGAATGCTAAGTGTGCTGTGAGAGCGGTTTGATCTGACATATCCAGGGTAAGTCAAGGAGTTTGATGTGCTATTTAGGCGGGGGTGAATGACGCTTAGATGCCACTACTATGAAAAAGGATTTTGGATCCAGGTTGTAGAACGGACCAGGTTTGAACATTAAGAAAATCCATGGTACAGATTCTAATCTGAAAATTTTCCAGCCTACGAGAGCTCAGCAAAGAAACGTAATCTTCAAAAAGGACCACAGACGGTTTTCGAAACCTGTGCCAAGTCATTCATGAAGCCTGTGCAAAAAACATTTAGAACAATACAAGTTGTGCAACGTGTCACGCATGGAAAAAAACAACTAAAAATTTGCATGTGAAATTTTTACTTCATGCAAAATTCGTGAATAATAAATGCCTCAATACTGGGCAATGAGCTTAGTAATCACTTGCCACTAAAGCATGTCCTTGGGTCAAGAACCTTGTAGACAGCAATGCTCTAAAACTGTAGGTGCAATGATGTAAGCGTGGAATGAGCCCTCGCCTGAAGAACGATACTCGAGGGCATCAACATAAAAATCGTCTTCTTGAAACATAAATCTTTCTTCCGTAACTTTGAAGTTGCAACAATGAACTATATCAGGGCATTGGAATATTAAGCTCTTGCAAAACCTCTTTGAAGTCAAATTCTCGACTGTCTTTGTTGAATTTTCTAACTTTCCGATATCTTTCATCGTTGATGTAGAAAGAGTGTGCTGTTTTCAACAGCGTATCCGCCTGCAGTTGTTATAGACATTCAAAGTTCAGTTTCATGTGTAAAGGTAAAAGAGCACAGTGTTTAGTTCTGAACAGGAGGGTTGATGATACAGTACATCCAAGCAACTGCAGTAGCAGAACTTTGCAAGTAGAGAAAGGATACCAGGAAAAGTACCTCGTCATCAGAAAGCTTCCTGGTGAAAACAATGTCGCCCCTTACCAGCACTAGACTCTTGGTAGGTACTAATTCAGTGAAATGGGTCACGGTGAAGTAAGGAGCAGCTTCACTCCCTCGAACTCTGTAGTCCTCTAAAGCTGTAAAGAGTAGATAGGGCATCTGTGCTACAAGATATCAACCCATGATTGTTAGATTTAAGGCCGCCAGGAACAGCGTAGAACATAAGAGCGCCGCAATAATAAAAAAGCGACTGCAGTATATTGAGGTAGTCCTAAATACTTTTCAGAAAGGAGGATGACCAGTGTCTACATTGAAGCCGAATCTCACTCTAAACTTTAATAACACAGCTTCTCAGCAGTCAAGACTGACATTGCACAACATTCTGGACACAGTTGCTTGTACATTGTGCACAAACTTGCACATCAAAATGTTGACGGTTTTTTGTGAGAAAGATTTGAAGAGTACCTTGTACAACAACTGAGATGAAGCCATTGCCTTTCCTCAAAGGAAGGACAAAAATTGGGCTGCATAAATATCGAACCAAAATCACTAATGTGAAACGACAAGGTTGAGGACTTCTGTAATATTTCTTGTATTATTTTCAACAAAGTTACTGTTACAGCCACACGGTTGCCAAGTACAGAAGAAATCAAACAAAATGACTGCATCGCAACAAACACACCAAAAAACCAGAGAGCATGTTCTAGGGTGCTAAGTTCGAGATCCGTACCATTCGTTGGCTCGTTGCTCGAAAATTTTGTACAATTCACTGCCCATGACGGCACTTATATGCCCTCGTCCAATGTGATACTGAACAAGCCAAGTAAACACGAAGAATCCGATAAGGCTGATCTCTCTATCAAAGAGAAGAGAATGTAGGACGAGACTTAGCGCAATAAAAGCTAGTGACAGTTTATACAAAAGGAAAACCTCTTAAAGTATGTCAACGGATAAAACAATTTATATGCACACACAAACCTATCAGGAAGCCAAAGCATACGGAACACATCCAGATAATTTTAATATTGCAAAGATCTAGGTAGGTATGTGATCTATCAAGCATGGAGTAGGTCACACTGCATTGTTGTGTTCAGTGGCGACGCTTAATGAAGAATATCCATATTTTGAAAGGTACCGCTTGAAACCCTAAACCCTAGCCTTAAACCCCAACATTACATAGAGTGAACGGCAATTGAAAAATTGATTTCAGCATTTTAGCTTTAGGAATCCTGCACCATACTAGCTCTAAATTGGCGGTCCATTAGTGCCCAAAATTCCGATTGAATCCTAAGAACTTTGAACGGTGAAATCGACAGTCGAGAGAAAGTCACAGGGGATTAGAAACTCCGGACGTACATCATTCCAAATCTGAGTGATCTCCTCTGGCGGCGAGAAAATGACACTCTCAATCTTCATAATCTGCTCCAGTTTCTTTGGCGCTAGTGCTGTGTAACCGCTGGCAAACTTGGACCTGGCAAAGTTGGCACGACTCCATAACCGCTCTTGTGCTGATCCAATATCCTCCCGAGGGCACAAGCTAGTGGTTGAGAGACATCGCTCCAAATGTTGGGGTGCAAGACCTGAAGGCTTGCCACCTGCAATACGGTGCGCAAGGGGCGTGTACGCAGACAGCACTCTGCGGCAGCGTGTGAAGGCACTCATGAGGATAGCTTGTAAGAAAGCCCAACAGATTCTCGCAAATGCTACGTTACAAAGCGAATGTGCAGATACTCCTGCACGAAATTGCGCGAGGACGGCGAATTGAAGGAGCAGAGTCCCAAATCGGAGTAACTTGGTTCTGCCCTCCAAATTTGCTACCAACTTACTCCGATTTGGGACTCCACCGCACCCCTTCCGGACGGTCAAAGGCAACAAGTCTACCGACTTACTTGGCCCAGACGAGATTCAACTACCAGGTGAAAAATTCGAGGTAGGTTTCGCTCTGTTGCGTCCATAAAAACCGGTTGCTCAGTTGTCCTATTCATTATAACAAGGTTTTCAAATCATGAAACCTAAACCGATTTTGGACTGTTTTGCGAAAAAATGGAGCTTGTAAAAATGCTACAGAAGTGATCCTGTAAGCCGCAATGAGAAAGATTTAGGTGATCACGTTCAAAAGCGTCATGCATTATTTTGGAGATGCAAAATACGTGACAGCTCTAACGTAATCAGGACCTTGTAATGCTTGACAAACCATCAAGGATTTGACCGCTCTTCGGATGGAAGAATCCAAATACCAATAGAGCTTATTTCACATGCACTGAACTCCGGATTTTCGAAGGAGCTGTAGAAAACATAAGCTGGAAATAGTTGGACGTCGCTAGATGTGAGGGCACAAGCTGACGTGCCCTGTAGAGGTGCAAATGATACGTGTGCAACACAACGAACACTTGGTATGCTCCAACAGACCGTCTCCCATTTCGCAAATTTCCTAAAAATTCCGTTCATCGTTTATCATAATCACTCAGTCACGAAGGAAGTGACAAACAGGCGTAGAAAATACAGGCATCGCACTCATCAAAGGTGTTTTCACGAGTAGTTCTGGTCTCCTAACTTGAGCCTTTCCAAGACGCCGATGGGAATGCAGCAGTGGCTGGTTTCTGTAAAGAATGAGTCAATACGCATTAGGCATCACGGAGTGCACTGATCCACATTCCTGAAGCAGGCTGCAAAACCACTAACAGTGTATCATTGTCCCACCACTTTGGGACTCTGCTCAGCAACCATGAGCGGCGCATTTCACATGATCTTCGCAGAAGATGAGCCCAAAAGGCTTGCATATGACAATCACATCCGATTGCAAGAGGTACATACACCTAAACCTGCTACGAACAACACCAGGGAACTAAGATGGTAGCATTTGCTACCGCTGTTTCTCTACATCTAAGTTATTAAAAGTGTCCGCTGCGGGCTACAATGAGCTAAGTTTTAAAGACGTGCCAGAATTGGAGCAATGCATCCAAACAGAGGTCCACAATTGTTTCCCAATGTAAAATTATCTACACTACAAGTACAAGTATTATACAACAAGATGACAGACCTTGACAGTCCAATCCAAGAACAAAACGTTGCATGCTTTGTTCATGGCTGAGACCGAGCTTGCACGATGTAAACATCATCACCAATGATGCAGCCCTCAATATCTCGAGGGCCTTTGAAGTGCTGCTCCAGAAAAAACCCAATGGTGGCAAGACGCTGTCCTACTCGTTCTCGGAAAGCAGGATCAGAGGAGAGACGTTGGCCGCTGTAATCAACGACTTCGCGCATAACACTTCCATCGGCTACCTTGCTTTCGTGACGAACTAATATCTGCTCACTGAAGTTAGCGAAACCCAAAGTCCTCACCGTCCCGTCAAACTTGTTAGCAGCAAGTCGCCAAGGAGTACCTCGTGTTCCAGACGCTAATGTCTCACCTAATCCAACAGCTAATTCGGCTTGTACTACTGTCGAATCGTGGTCAATTGGATTCACCGTATGGAGAACAAAGCTTAATTCTGGAGACAAGAGCTCCTGGACTAGGACAGCCATGGAGGCTTCCTTCTGAGGGACTCCAGCAATTCGTCGGCTCAATACTGCCCTTCTTGTGTACAAAGAAGCCCAAACTCGAGCCACAGCTTTACTAAAACTTTCAGGCTCTGAGAGCCTGACATTCGGTATTGACTCATACAACCACGTCCCAGGAAATCCTGTAGAATCTTCAATACTCGCACTCGACCGGACTATTAGCCTGGAGATTTTAGAGAAACTTCCTGATGCAAGCCCATCCAGAGCGGCCTGAGAAATTCGTTGTTCTGCAACAAGAGATCGCAACTCGTCGCACACATTGTCCAATGCCCCACCTTCTAGCGGAGCAGCCTCGATCTTCTCGACGAGTGCATTAAACTTTCTCACAGACTTACTGCTTTCAAGAGCATCCTCCATAGCTCCGAACGGAATAACATTTCCTCTGGGTACACGAAACGTTGCGGGCACACCTAGATCACTGTGCACCGTCTTCGCCTGCTCAGCCAACACAGCCAGCACACCACACGCAGCTGCTTTCGAACCAGCTTTTTCAGTAGTAGCCTTAGAGATATCAAACACTGTCCCAAGTGGGCTTCGGACGATCTTGCTCTGTTTAAGGTCTGCGACTTTCGATAGCGTGCTTAACCTAATGTAAGAAGGCCCCAACTCATCGTTAACCATTTTTTCTTTCAAACTCAAACCAGCCCCCACATACTGTTGTGCTTGGGGTGGTGGAGTTTCATATGGTCTAACATGAACAAATTCAGAGGATCCCGATATTTCAACATTCCTATTCAGCAAAGGACGTAGACTGGCTATCTTGGCTTCGTCGTCACATGTGACGAACACAACATTTTCTTTACGAGCCCGGACACCCAAATGTGACAAGTGTGGCAGCTCATGTTGTAGTACCACCCCCGCCACATTTAGGCCAGTAGCCTTGATCTCTTCCTCGCCGGACGCCTTCTTAACCAGAAGTATGAGAGGACCGCTGTCGGAAGATGGCAAATAACTCGGTGCAATTCTTTCAACTTCAACCAACCGACCTGCAGCTCTTCCAGGCATGATAGCGTCAAAACCATCCCCTCCAACCGTCCTTCGAATGGCCTTGAGAAGCAGCGAACACAATTTTACAACTTGAAACACCAAACTTGCTCGTATGCCAGCTTCTGCATAGGTTCTCACGGTGTCTTCTGGAATACCAAAAGCCTTGCCAAGCTTGTCCGTACAGTCAGGGAAGAGTTGCAACATGGAGTCAATGTAAGTCTCAGTTAGTCGACGAGCACGGTCTACGGTTGCCTTCAGCCTTAATGCCCATACCTTTGTATCTTTGACAGTAAATGCAGCGACAACCGCTGTCGCTGACCATGCCAGTAGCTCGTTGTTTATTGCAATACATTCGGCGTTGTGCAATCCTGAAAAACCTAGCTGCTGAGCGCCCATTGCGAGACTAGTCAATGCAGGCGTCCATTGCCCTATTTTCCCATCTCTGACCATCCCTACAAACCATTCGACTCCTCCGGCGTTTTCAAACGCATTCACCAATCTGCTGAACAAAACAAACGAGTACTTCTCTAACCCTATCTCGGACAGACGCCATTTTTGCCGCATGGCAATGGACTCATCAGAAGCGTCGTTTGGAAGTCCGCTATCAAGCCCCTTCACCAATGTCCCACGCAAATTAGTCAATGCATGTATCGTATCCAACAACGGCTCAATGATACTTGCAACATTTGTCTTCTCCAATGTCTCCAACCTGTCCTTGCTCGAAAGAAAATGCGCTGAAATTGCTTGAGTATCTTCATCAATTAATGGACGCAGTCCTTCCAGCTGTTCAGTCAAACTTCCAGCATTGAAGAAATCTTTGAGCTCCGTATAGAAAAACTTGAGCTCTTCCACAAACACTTCACTGTACTCTCCGGGCTTCTGATTCACACGAGAAAGCAATGCCTCCGTGGCCACTAAATCCTCCGGTCCTGCACTTCTATCCAACTTACTCTGTAACGTATGCTCAATTTCCTTCTTCAGGTCTTGCGGGATATCATTACGATGCGCAATGTCCCGTATTCTGGTCAGAGGATCAGATGCTGTGTATTGCACCTTAAAAGCGGGCAAGCTAGGAAGAATCTTTCGGACCACCAGAATTTCCCTTAAACTCGCACTTCTATCATCAATGATGCGTTCCAGCTCCGCAAAGATTTTCCTGGAGATTTCAGCGTGCTGGTCGAGACTGTAGTGTTTAGCATCCTCGCAGCAAGCGATTTGCCCTGTACGGATCCATTTCAGGTACACTGAGATATATACAAGCGTTTTCAGCCTTTCTGTATTCCCAAATTCACCACTAACAAGCGAACGCACCACCTCCAACTTCTGCCACCAGTTCTTCGCATTTTTGTCACCTTCTACTAAATGCAAGGCAGGCCCATCCAAGCCAGTGGTGTCCCACTTGCATGCTCTCTCCTGTCCATCCTTCGCCGCACCTCCCAGCCATTGATGTACAAACGATGTCGAAATCTCTCCCAACTCACACACTGAACGCTCCCTCTGCTGACCACTTGAAGTTTCAGAAGCTTGACCTGGCTCCTCTTTACTTCCCTTGCCCACATCTACTGGTCCATCTATCACCTGCTCTCCTTGCAACTGGAGCTCCTCATGGGTGCAACCCCAATGGGTAACAACCTCGAATTCACCCTCATCGGGCACCGACAGGACGCGATTCGGACCCCCTTCCCAAATCACATCACCCCCATGGGTGACGATGATATGCTTGTATTCAAATGTCTCACCAGGATTAGCCTCTAACTCTACCACCCAACCCGACTCCGTCCATTGCAAAGGCACCCTCTCCCGCCACGCTCCAGTACATTGCGAAGAACCCAAAATGGCGTGCGATTCACCGAATTGCACCTGGTGGTCAATTCGCAGCCGAACCTTCACCTTATTCTCACTCCTCACCATCAAACTCGTCCTCTGCAAACCCACCTTCCTCCTCGTCTTGCCACTACCAATCACGGCACATTGCACGCACTCTTCCATCTTGCTCCTCCGCGGGCCCAGCCCGCGTGGAACCATCCAGGGAGCGGAAGCCATGGCTTCTCACCACCCACCCAACTCCAAATTAGGGCGTCAAGCGAGGCACGCACGCCACAGCACTCCCTCCTCCCTCTCGTCTTCTCCTCCTCCTTCTCAAGGGCATTCACCATCGCTGAGCTCAATCACTACCACCACCCACGCCATGTAGTCCCACAGCTTGGTTTCAATCCAGAACCCATGGATGAGCCTCTCCAGATCACAAAGGTTGCAATCGGTTGGAAGTTAACGGCGGCAATCGCCAAGGTCCCAATTTGGCTGTATTCGAGGTGCAACCTACGAGGCCCGTTTGTTTGCAGGAGGGGCGGTCATGGATGCCACGGACACAAACTCACGCTCACACTCGTGGTACTTATCATCGATCCCTTAAACCCGACCCTTCCAGGTGGAACTGCCACCTCGATTCGCTCGAGTAGCGCTTCCCCCCTCCCTCGCCTATGACCGCGCGCCGTGATCCTACACTGCACTTGGTTCGCACCCACTGTTTTTGTTGATGCTGTTGATGATTTGAACTGGCATGCAAACTATATTATTTTTCTGTGTAATTTTCAGAACTGTTGTTCACAATTTCCTCATTAAACCTTGACTGGATGTTTAATTTGAGTTTCAGATTGTCAAACATATATTAAGGCAGTGTGTCATAACTCATCATCTTGGCATTTTATTTGAATGTACCATGAATTTCAGCAGAAGAAAAAGTATCATATGACAATGGATGTTTGCACAGTAATGAAAACTTTGGCAAGATATTACATTCAAATCATGGCATCATGGGACAGACCATCGAATAAGTACCACTAAACAAGTTACAATGTAACAGGTACGTCACATTGCGTCTATAATCACGCAAGCTAGTTAATAAAAATAAAAAAACAAAAAAATAAAAAATTTGTAGATTCATGTATTCCTCAACAAGCCGCGTCCTGAAATTGACAACCAACCTATCATCCAGCGAACAAGAGCTCAAATTGAACAGAACTGGGATAAAGAAAGTAGCTTTCTCAACTTAAAAGGCCCTAGATCTTGCCACGAGGACTAATGAAAAGCGATGCGAAGCATTTTGACCACTTCTAGCAAAGGACTCGAATCCATGCAAATCCTAATTCGGTCTCAACTCGGAATTTGCACAGCCGTAGCACGTTTCTAACTCGTGGATTTCGGTGGAGATTGTTCAGGTGGCCATGTCACAGAAGCCCAAAACTAACAGAGATCCGAAACCGAAGTGAAGATATCCAATCGTCGAGAGAGCGAAATAAACGGCATTTACAAAGTACTGGTACAGAAGATTACAGACGCAAGGAAATGGGGACGCACTCAAACTGTAGCAATCGCTAGTATTTTCCCGTGACCTTCTGGAGAAGAATCTTTCCGAAAGCAGGCAAGATGGTCTGGGCAGTGCAGAAGCCACTGTCTGCAACGCCGAATACTTTCTTGTAGCTGGGCCTTTTCTTCAACTCATCGTAGTAGCGCTGGATGTTCGGTCGAGGCTCGAGAAACTCCTTGTCTTTTTTCACCATGAACAATCGGTATATGACAGGAGTGAAGATGCAATCGGCGGCCGAGTAAGAATCCCCAGCCAGGAACTTGTTTGTTGAGAGCCTTGCTTCTGCCTCGTCTAATAGACCTGCAAGCTGCCTGAGGTTCTGCTCGACCGCTTCGCGGTTGTCTGGCTCAGCGAGTTGTGCTTCCATGGTTGCAATCTTCTTCTTGTACAGCTCAGCCATGTCAGGGTTACGCTTCATGTTCGCCTCAGCTACTTTTATTTTGTGCTTCGTGCCAAATTTGATTGCACCGCTAGATGAAGAGTTCGCTGCCGCGAACAGATTGCCATCCCAGGCATCCACTTTCTCAAGCCACTCCTTCACGAAGGCCCTGTCCACAGAATCTCCGCCAAGAGGAGCACCCTGGCTGTCTGCCCATCTAATGATGTCCGCAGATTCCACAATTTTCTCATCGCCAACAACTAGAGTCGGGGATGATGCCGCCGGGTTCAGCTTCAGGTACCAAGGCTCCAAGGATTGGCCATTAAAGAGGTCGATCTTCTTCTCAGTATACTGCAGTCAGACAAATCGCATCTTAGAGAATCGAAAATGATCGTATATGATCGAAGTTGGAGCTCATGCATACAACAGCCAGACAATCCAAGGGAAACACGATTTACTGATAGAGACCCTCCACAGATTTACTAGGCGACCGTAGCAACATGATACATAGTGTGGAATTAACGTGAGAAATTATTCTGGATGTAGTAAACGAACTGTCTCACCTTAATACCCTTCTCCTCCAGAGCAAGCTTTGCTTTCGCAGGGTTGAACGCAAGCGGATAATTGTAGAATATAATAGAATCCCGTGCTAGACCAACACCTGAATTACGAGAATAGAACTTCATTTCATCGAACCGATGGTTCACGAAATTCTTACTTTCAATGCTGCACGCCAGGACGTTAAGCCTTCCCACTTTGACTGTAGGATCGAGATGCTAATTGCGCAGCGATTATTAACTCATATTCTAAAAAATTCACAAAATTCAAGAAGAGATAGCGACATAAATTACATACCCGTTGCACTTGGCTGAGCTGTCTCCGCCATTACTGTCGTGCAAATGAGCAACCAGCACACTACAAAGTTGCTGAAAACCCTCGACCCTTGCAAACTAAAAGCACCTGCACAAGCGCACAAGGAGATAAGTGTGCCTACACTGAAACCAATGAGAAACGAACAACTTCGGAGAAATACAGCACCATATCGCGGGTGGGAATCTTGGCACAGGCTCAGAACCATTCCAGCTTCACAATATAATTATTGAGCCAAACCAACGAGTACCGGTTGTTGGGTCATGAATGTATTGAAGAAGATGAATGCCCGCCAAAACTCTAAAACAAGTTAAAATCACCCCGATTCATTACCAACTCAAACTCCCGACCATGTCGCATTGCTAAAATCTTTTCGATCTCAGTCTGACTGAGTGGCACAGGAAGGTCATAGATGTAGGCACGATTAAACAATACAAAACACAAAAACCAAAAGACAAAAACAATACGAAAGGAATGATGAGTGTGCATCGAAGACAGAGAGTTACAACTAGACGACATCATTTGCAAGCCAAATCATGGCGCCCAAATAAGAATTTCGAGCAGGGCGAGGGTTCTCGTGGGGGTGCAGAGAGCTACAGCTGAATAAAACAAACATAGCTGCAACACAGGCAACTCCTGCCCATGCTCGACCTCTGAAGGAGATCCTTCAAATCCGTCATTCTTTCAACTGCTTCACGAGATACAAATCAGTGGACAACGACGTCACTACGGTTAGAGCAAGTGCCCTTACCCGTCGCACATGTCCTGCGAGGAATCTCCTTGCGCGACGCAGACGGGGTACGAAGACGAGACAAACCCATTCTATAAGTAACACAAATTGCGACGCAATCTACTAACCTCCAGTGTACGCTTCCCCTACAATCCAGGACGAGAAAAACGAAAGCGAAAGCAGGGGCGGAAGAACCAGCGGGATTCAAAAGCACACAATTCGCAAATTCCAGCGTAAGAGGCAATACCCTCCTGGTACACAATCAGAGCCTCCATATCCTCACCTTAGCACTGCCCCACAAACTGACCACCCAGATTATCCTTCGCCACACGAACGACACCCAAGCACTCTGTCAACCTGGAACCAGAAATGATAAATACGTGCACACAACACACTCTACTTCTGCTACCACCAACTACTTAAGGCCCGCACCTCGCCCCTCCCTGGGTTACTTCCCGCCTATGCAGCAACACCCTGTTCGCTAAAGACGAATACCTAGACAAGATCTTCCAGCTCCCATCCGGTCCTACTGAGTCATTATATCGGTCCCATGTTCTACGTTACGTATCCGTCGCGAGAGACCACGGTTTACACTATTTCTGTCGAATTTCCGAGCATCCGAACGCCTCTTTGCCCGTGTCAGCTGTCGCGGATCGGATAATGGAGGGTCTGACCGACCATGACCAGCTTCCACAGATTGCACTTGGCCACCTTCCAGACTCCCACGCGGCGCCTCTCACCTCTCCTTCCTCTGTCCCTACCAAAGGTCCCCAACCATTCCAACCCTTTTAACAATTTGCTAATAATCACTCCGCATCTGCTTTTTACCCACTAATTCAACGACATCACGCTGCAAACACAGTGAAACTTGAACCAGGCTTCCTTCCGAGGCCAATTGACATGATGCGTGAGCTCTGGATTACACATCCCCTGATTCAGTTGGCCACAAGCGCAGGTTGCGGTGTTACTGCACGAGTGACAACACCTTAACAGTTGCTTTATTCTTAAAAAAATAAACACAACGAAATTACCGTGATCGCAGCAGGCTTTGGACCACACTACATGCCACGTTTATCTCATCGTCGAGGAACGCTTTCGCTGCTTCCAATGCTTCTCCACTTCGAGCCCATCTCTCATAGAACTCCAACTTCCATCCACACCGTCTTCTTCATCATCTTTTTACTTCTTCTACGAAAATGTATTCGAAAGAATGCTTTTGAAAAGCAGCGTAATACGGCATCGCATGCGTGTTATTTCCTTCATGTACGGTTGAGGTGCTCCTCCCCAGTCAATGTCTACGACTCGATCCACCGCTCTACAGCTACTACACATATCTCCATATATATATATATCTTTTCATGAAGAAAATTTCTGCTGGTTAACCGAGCTACAGAGTAAATCCTACAGAGCCCCAATCATAGTTTCAGGGAAAAGGCATAAGTGTGTCCAGCAGCTGAATTCGTACCTCACTTTGACGTATCCACCCACAACTCAAAACCAGTCACTGTCACAAGCAATTTAAAACTCTCATCAATGCGGCGCGCATGACTCCAAATTCGTCCAGATCACACCGGTAAACTGGGACGGGGAGGGTGTAGGAGCATCATCTCCCACGCCGGTGAACTCCCAGCTCTGCATGATTTACTGTCCCTGTTCACAAGAGGGAGGGATAGTGCCGCGTTGGCCAGATATCTTCTCGTCGTATCAGAGGCTCACCCCACGAGTTAAAAAAATCTACCGCTCTGATCATTAACCCGCAACATCGCAATTCACCGGAACAATCGCCATGATTCTCAACACGGTGCGAGCTATTCCTTCGACCTGTTGGGGGAGAATAAGTAATTGGGTCCCACCGGCGCACGGATTCATTCGCTTTCTCTCTCGTGGAAATGGGGATCCTTTTGATGATCCCCCATCTGTTGGCTCGTTGCCAACCCTCGATTGCGGTGACTGTGGGTCCCCATCTCCGGAAGCTTTCAACATCACCCACCACCAGCAATCGACAGTGAAGGAAGGAAGGAAGGAGAAAGGCTTCGCAAAAGAAGCTTCTGCTTCCGAGAAACTCAGGCGTGGGGATCGTTTTTGTCTTGTGCTTTTTGTATATATATATATATATATATTATCAAATTCAGATCCCCAGTTAGGGTTTGAGGTTTCTGAGGCGTGGGGATCGTTTTTGTCTTGTGCTTTTTGTATATATATATATATATATATATATTATCAAATTCAGATCCCCAGTTAGGGTTTGAGGTTTCGGAGGTTCTGGGAATCATCCACTTACTTGGTCTCTTGTGTTCCGTTTGATTATTGCTATTATGTTAAGGTTGAGTTTTTTGTGTTGATAGGGCTGGCTCTTGATTGTTGCTTGTTCTTGTGCTTGAATTCATGCCTTGCTCACAACTCTGTTGGTTGAACTTTTGTTTTGCTTTGTTGTATATGTAAATATTATGATAACAATAATATTATTAATTTTTTTCTAACTTTGTGTCAAGGACAAGAACTCGATGAAAAAGTAATTCAGACAAGTGAGCCTTCACTCAAAGAAAGATAACAAAATATAAATAAACAAGTATGTATATTGAAAGAGAAACTAGAATCGCTATTGTCAAAGACTAGAAAACATGAAGACCCTTGAAACTAGACTGGAAGCAAGAAAAGAATTGGCTTCACTCTTGTCTTTATATATACTATCTAACTAGGAGCTACGTGGCAACGTTCTATAGGACCTCCAATATGTGTTGACTTTGTAAGACACATGCCTTGACTTACAAGGCAAGTTTTTCTATGTGTGGGCCACATTGTTAGCTTGGTCTTCAAGCTAATAACATGTGTAGCACATGGCCAACTTGTTGACCACGTTTCTAATCCCAAAAAGTCAATTAAAGACACCTATAAAGTCAAAGCAGCATCTATGAAGCTTCTAGGAAGCTTCCATATCAAATACTATAGAATTAATTTATCTTTATTTACTTTTATTTACTTCTATCTATTTATATATGTAATTACTAGCTTACATGAATAGGTCCATGATATTACCCCCCTTTCTAAGAACGAGTTCCATGAGGAGCAGTCATCATATGTTGAAGAAATCTATGATGTAACGAATTGTATTTGCCACATATTCTGATCTTTGTTCTCTTTGAAGATGATTGATAGGGCCTCTCAACCATCAGTAGTGTCTCATATCAGGGCGGGAAGACCACCCAATTATTTGATCATTGTTGAGGCCTTCATAACTTCCTTCGAATAGAATATTTGGAACATCATCAGGAATTATTCCTACCTCTAATAAAATCACCGAACATCGGGATTACCTTTTTAAGTCATAATACCAAATGCATTGTATCTCGCCATCTATTCGAGAAAGAACATGTCCTTCTTAAAGATCTTCATCTCGATTTCGTCGTCTTGAAGGTTGTGACAATCATAATGTCTCATCCGGTAGGTCAACAAATGAAGGCTCTTGAGTCAAATCCATTGGTTGTTGGTTCTCTATCTCCTAAGCGTCACAACTACAAAGAAGCTACAAAGAAGGATTGAAAGTAGAATGTTATCTTGCCTAGATATTGTTTCTTTTATAAAGAAGGTTTTCATCTTGATTTTGATGGATGTTGTTGATAAAAAGCCTCCACCACCTTTGTTGCATTTGCAAGATTCTTTATTGGCTCCCATGTGAGTTCACTAATATCATATCTGTGCCAATGGACGAGATATTTCAATTTATTTTGGCACCGCCTTGAATCTAAGACTTCTTCTACTTCAAACTCTTCATTATTGTCCACTTCTATAGGAGGAGGTGGAAATTGTCATCTTCTTTGTATGTCCACTGTCTTGTATGGTTTAAGAAGAGACACGTGGAATATGAGATAGATTTTCATTGACTCCGATAGATGTAAACAAAATGCAATTAGATTGATTTGTGCAGAAATAGAAAATGGTCCAAGCCTTTGATAGTCCAACTTGTTACAAGAACGAGTAGTCTTGATATTACGACGAAGTAGCCATACCTTATCACCCAAGTAGAATGGTGGTTGTATCTTTCGATAGACATCCGCATTGACCTTTTGTTGTTCTTGAGCCTCTTTTAACTGCGCCTTCATCGTTGCATGTAGCTCTGACAAATGAATCGCCAAATCTTTCGCAGCAAGATTATCAACTTTTGAAAAGTAAAAAATATCAAGTCGTGGATGATAAATATAATTAGCAAAGAAAGGTGTTTGTTTTGTAGAAAAATGTACCATGTTATTGTAAGCAAACTCTGCCAATAGCAAAAGAGTCGTCAAATCATCTTGTTGATAGTTAATGGTACATCTTAAATATTGCTCCAAAACTTGATTAACACACTCTGTTTGTCCATCAATTTGAGGATGGAATGCCGAAGATAGTTTTAAATCCATTTTTAGAATCTTAAAAAGAGTTCGTCAAAATCTTGATATAAATTGAGTTCCCCTATTTGATATAATATCCTTGGATAATCCATGATAGCAATAGATATTGTCAAGAAAGAGCTTAGTTGTTTCTTCACCTATGATACATTTTGTATATGGTATAAAATGTGCCATCTTGGTAAAACGATCTACTATCACAAATATAAAGTCATAAGAACCTGAGATTGGAAGATCCATGATGAAGTCCATAGAAACAGAAGACCATGGTTGTTTTGGAATGGATAATGGTTGAAGAAGTCCAAAAGGTCGATGACAAGGAGTTTTTGATCTTGAGCAAATATTATATGATTGTACAAAATCTTTGACTGCCTTCTACATTTGAGGCCACCAAAAATCCTTAGATATTAGCTCCAAAGTCTTATTGTATCCAAAATGTCATGCTGCTGGGAAGTCATGACGAGCTTGAAGAATACGTAAACTTGCTTCTCCTTCTGGAACATGTAGGCGTCCTTTGGAATAGAGTAGGTTGTTCTTGAACTCGAATTTAGAGAGATCATGAGATTTAGAAGAATTATTCTTGATATCACGAACAAGAGGCTCTGAAGACATACTTAACTGGACTTGCTTAAGAAAAGTTAAATCAACAGTCAATGTTGATTTTATTGCTCGAAGATGAAATTGCTTTGGCTTCAAGAGAACCATTCTTTGTTGCTCAAAAGTTGCATCTCATTCTTTTGGTGCAAGATAAGAACATCTAGTCAAGGCATCAAACAAACATAATTTTTTTCCTGGCCGATAAGTGATGATGAACTCGAATTTTGATAAAGACATGCTCCAATGAGCTTGACAATGATTTAATACACGTGTTGACATGAAATACTTGAGGTTCTTGTGATCCGTATACACGGTGATTGGACTAGAAGCGCCTTCTAGATAATGACACCATTCTTCTAAAGAATCCACAATTGCAAGAAGTTCTTTATCATGGATCTCATAATTGAATTTTGCTGTTGAGAATTTTCTTGAATGAAAGGCTATTAGGTGAAGTTTGTCATCTGTTCCTATTTGTGATAAAACCGCACCTAGAGCAAAGTCTGATGCATCTATTTCCATAAAGAACGCTGTGGAAAAATCAACACAATACAAGTTTGGTGCAGAAACAAACGCTGTCTTTAAAGATTCCAAAGCAACTTCCACTTCTT